TGTGTGTGTGACTGACTGTCTGCCTGTGTGTGTGACTGTCTGCCTGTGTGGGCATCCAATTGTGTGTGTATGTGCCTGTATGTGTGACTATCTGCCTTTTACTGAGTGCTTATCAGCGTGCGTGAGTGTCTGCATGCCTGTATCCGAGTGTGTATGACTGTCTGCCTGTAATGAAGTATGTGTGACTGCTTTTGACCGTGTGCCTGTAACTGTTCATGATTGTGTGCCTGCAGCTGTGTGTGACTGTCTGCCTTTAACTGTGTGTTTGGCTCTGTGACTGTCTGTCTGTAACTGAGCATGTGTGACTCTCTGCCTGTAACTGTGTGTGTGTGTGAGAGACATTAAAAAGTTACAAAATCCTATAAATAATGACTGCAAATTATGAAACTGATTAAGTGAGTTGCTCAGCCTGCAAGATCTTAACATGTGCCTTTACATATTTTTCATTTGTGTGTCGTTACTCTCCATCCTTTTCATGTAACTGACTTTATTTTGGACAGGTAGCCAAATTAACGTTGAAAAAAAAAATTGCAGAAAGTATTAGGGAGTGAGAACCCACGGTGTCTATACACTTAACTATCGTACCAGAATGCAGCATTGTTAATGATCAGCTGGCTGTTATAGACGAATTTGCACACTTGCTGGTATTTCTTTTATATTGTTTTGTTCTTTGACAATATACCAATTCATTTGTGTTTTGCATACATTTTATAGGGTTTGGGGACCCCTAGTCACCAGGGGGAGGGGGTTTAAATTTGTATTTAGGGCCCTCACCCACCACTCAGGGGTAGGGGCCAAGGGGGAGGACATTAGGTCCCCCCCTTATTCTTGTTTAGGGCCCCCACCCACCGCTCAGGCTGCTCACTGTTTAATAGACATATCCCTACTCGCGATATAGCGAGTAGGGGCATAATTTACTAATACTAAGTAATCTTTACTCTTTACTGTACTGCAGTTACATTTACAATCCATACTGAATGTGATTTTTTTTTATTTCAGGTTGCTATGGCTGGACCTATTATTTAGATCAGAGTTAGGCAACCTTTTGCACCCAGTATGTTGTGGACTACATCTCCCCTGATGCTCTGCCAGCATTATGGCTGAAAAAAGCGTTATAACTAATCCACAACTTCTGGAGTGGCAAGGTTGGCTACCCCTGATCTAGATTATTAGAGGTCTCTAGCAAATCATGTCAGTGAATCTGGGACACAAACTACAAACTACAAACTACAACTTGGGATCCATCATATAACATCACTCAGCAATTCTGTTATCATGTATCTTTATGTGTTCCGTAAGGAATCACTCGAAGATGTGTTTTTATTACCATTGCAAGACTTGCTTGCATCTTACAAATCATTCCACTTTTGTGGAATTAATGGGAGCTTCATGCTGCTGTACCACTTCTCTCCTATTTGAAGAAGATTTTTTTTTCCTTCAAGTTGTTTAACACACTCATAGTTAGAGGCATTTTCCCTGACTTTCTGTGTAGTCTATTCAGTCTGTGTAGTCTATTCAGAATCCTAATCCCAGGTACAGTTCTTTATCAGTTCCAAGAAAGGTGAATTGAGGGGGAAGAGAGGTGAATTGTTCCTAGTAAAAGCTAATTATGACTTTAAATAATTTGCTTAACATTCAGTAAACCAGTGAAGTAACCTCTCTGCCTGTCCTCCTTCTTCCAGACAGGTATCAACCCCTCTGCCTATGCTCCTTCTTCTAGGCACCCTCTGCGTGGGGTGCCTGCAAATACTCTCTTTACAAAGGTACAACTGGCACACAGGCCTAGCGCCGTTACAAATTATCACAACTAAATCCAAAGCCCACTACTCCATATTATTTCTTCTTCATCTCTGCTGCATTTTACACTGTTTATCATGTACTCCCTCTTCATGTGCTCCCTCTTCAATCCCTTGCACTCTGTGACACTGTCCTCTTGTGGTTTTCATCCTATCTCTGCAAGCATTCATTCAGCGTCTCCTTTTCTAACACCACCACCTTTCCTCATCCTGTCTCAGTTGGATTCCCCCAAGTCTCTGTTCGTTGCCCTCTTTTGTTTTCTCTTTACACTGCCTCTGAGGCCCGGACTGGCCATCATGTAAACCGGGCAAATGCCCAATGGTCTGCGATGGCCATGGGCTGAGGCCGGCAGGGGAGATCAAAGGGTAATTTGACTCCTTACTCTGTGAGGGCACCACATGCCTGGATTGTTCCTTTAAAAATAATCTACCAGTTCCTCTTCTGAGATTAGGCTCTGGATCCGCTCCTGACACACAAACATACTACACACACTCTATAAGTCCTGCACTTACACAAATACACTACTCATTCTCCAAGCCACCTATATACACACACTACACCATCTGCACATACTTACATATATATTACAGTATGCATCCCCTATATACACACTACAACCCCCACACGTACACTCACAAACACTACACAAACTCTATACTGCCTATAAACACACACTACACCCCATGCACACACGCACTCTATACCCTTATATACACAATATGCCCCCTGCACTTACACATAACATACTAGACACACACTCTGTACCCCCTATAAACACACTACACCCCCAATGCACTCATACACACACTATATCCCCTATATATACACACACTGTACACCTCCTATGCACACACTATACCCCTATATACACTATAGCGCCTATATGTACATTACTGCACCTATAAATACCCGCACTAACACCCCTATATTCATACACACACAATGCAACCCCCTGAAGCCCGTAGATACACACACACAGTACAGCCCTTACATACACACACAACACCTCTTAGGCCCACACACTTTATAGGCTTTATAAACACGCACACACACACATAATTCACAGCCCAGAAACACACACACTACAGCCCCTAGCACACCACAATCAGACCCCTTTACACACAACAACACAAACCACATAACATAATAAACTATGAATATCAAAAAGAGGGGAAGTTAATATAAATTATACCATTATGTCTGCATTACTATCTTTGCAAATATATGCAAAATATCTGGTGCTGTGTCACACAATGTCCCAGTGGATGGTTGTAGTTCTGTCACAACCTATAAATGTGTTTGTTGATGTCCTGGAAATACAGTCATAACCTACACATATACAACCTAAACGATAAAAGCGTTACTTGTACTATGAGTAGTTGTTCTAACGGGAATTGTTCTAAGTGTAATCGTTCTATCAGTAATTGTTCTTAGAGGAATTGTTCTGGGGGTTGTTTTATTGGCAGGTGTTTTTTGAGTTGGTTATTAAGTTCTAACTCACTTCTATTAAACAGAAAACCTTGTCACAGCATATTTTTTGTTTTGCAACTTCAAAAAGTAGTACAAGGAAATAATTTCATATTGCAGTTCTGTGTACATATCTCTTTATATTTTGTTCTCATACCATGTTCCCTCATTTTGGTTGTATTTCATGCAATTGTTAGATTAAACCATTAGGTAGGTTCCAATTAATGTTTTCCCAGGGTGGTTAGACAAACATGCTTAGTTTTTTGTTTTGTTTGTGATGTGCTAATTCTGATGACTAAAACACCAAAATAAAGATGATCAGGATAAATAGTGTCAATGTATCTGTATATAAAAAGATACACAGTATTTACAAATATGCACTTTCCAAAGGTAACACATGGAAAAAGGACAATCAAGTGTTTTAAATAGTAGAAAAAAGTGCTACAAAACAATACACCAAGGAAAGTAGTAGGTGAACTTATCTTGCATGTAAATAACTTCTTAGTAAATCGTCCATTGTGATACCTCAAGAGAGAGCAAATAAGATATCATAGTATATTACCGTTTATTACAAAACATAGGTTTTAGAGTCTTTCACCCTGCCCCTCAAGGCTTGGGTCATTGTTAGCACTTCCATCTTTGGTCAAACACTCTTCTCAGAATCCCCTGTTTTGTTTTTCTTACTGTATAATTAATGATCATGTTCCAGGAACCTCCCAACTCTAAAGTCATGTAATGTGCTTTGTCACTTTTCTTTGACCTAGTTAAAGCTAGTCTATTCCTGTGCCATGGCCCTGGACTGACTTCACCAATGCTGACCTTCGTGAACTCTGTATGCTAACTTTTCACTTACCCTTTGGCACCTGTTTTAACAAAAAAATGCCTAGCTGATGGGTTTAACCTTTGGCTGGTTAATTGTCCAGAGTTAGAACAACTAATAGCCCACTAACTGTATTAAATGTTTCTATTCATATGTGTCACTCTTGGGATTCTGATACTTCTCAACCTATCAATCCATAATAAAATACATAATATAATATTACTTATGTGTATGAAAGAATACCAAGCTTCATAACGTTCTCACATTAAAGGAACACTATAGTGTACTATAGTGCTAGAGTGACTGTTTACGTGTCTGGCCACCCACAGAATTGAGATGAAAGGTAGTTAATTTACCCTTTCTCCATCGCCACGCAGGTCTCGCGGTAGCTGACCCCGCCTACATAGCGGAGATCATCAATCATGATAATCTCAGCAAATCCAATGCTTTCTCATAGGAAAGCATTCAGAGGTTATAGCTCATGCACTGCAAAACACTGACTCAATGTTATTGCTATGGGGAGTGTTCAGTGTCTCCATATAGAGCATGGAAACACCGAATGTAGGTGTGCACACAACGCAGCACTGAAATAGCAAGCAACTCTAGTGGCCGTTTGAGTAACTGAACTTAGAGGAGATACTAGGCCAAAATGTAAAAACTGCATTGTCTCTGAAAATGCAGTACTTTCATTTAAAAGCCTGCAGGGACAGGCTATAGACACAGACACCAGAAACACTACATTATCACTACCACTACATTATGCTGCTTACTACTTTGTCCCTTTAATAAATAAAAAATCAGTATGTATGGGCTGGGTGCTTTGTCTCCCTTGTAGCGTACTCTGTTCTTGAATTTAGGGAATCTCATGTTTCTGTTGCATTTCACATACACACATACACAGGATACAATGCCAAGGTAGTCATAATCCACAGAAATAGTTTATTACATAAAATTTAAGGAACATTTAAAAGATTGCAAACATTAGACAGGAGTATAAACATGACATAAACAGACAAAAATGCCTAAGGTACACGATACTTAATCACTCTATCCGAAACCTAGCAAACTCTGATATGCCCGCATCAAAGTCTGTAAAATAATATTTTTTACAATGAAATAGAATATATTTTTTGGGGAGGGGAAACAAAACAAAACATGCATTATATAATAATGTGTGGAGATACTGAATATCCAGCAACATTCTGAAATGTGCTGCTTTGTAATATGCTGCAAGTCCCAACAGCTGGAAATTGTTAAAAATAGTTATATTGTGAAGGTTTAGCTGCTACAATATATTATGATGAAAACTAAGGATATGGAAAGCTTGTGTTAAAATCATAACTTCTGATCACGAGAATCTATATAAAGCCATAGTCTAAGGTAGGATTCTTAACATCTGACATTTGTTTAAAGTCTGCACGTATATATTTGATTTGCAATTATATTTAATACGTTTTCTTTTACTATCAGGGATGTTCACTAAACTCCAAATTTTAGTGAATTGAATCCCGCAAAAATAGTTGTGCTGTAAATATTCACCAGTTCAGCTCATCAAAGCTTTATTATTTTACCTAAATGTTAAAATTTGGATTTAATTTGCTAAAATTTGAAGAACCTCGCCTACGCGTGAAATAAAAAAATATTTTTGCATCTTTTTTTGTGCTTAATTACACAGTTTGGTTGTAAAATCACCCTTGCCCTGCCCTTCTTTGTTTAGTAAACCTATCCACAGATGAATGGTAAGGCAGCAGTGTACAGTTAAACCAACCCTAATTGTAAACCAGTAATACTAAAAGGTTTAATGATTCCAAATAGTGATACATATGTTGGTTAATAAAGATGCATGGATCATACCTATTTTTTTCTTCTAAAGGAAATTCTTTTAAAATTCCCAGATTCATCATATTGTGGCAAAAACAATATTTTCCCTTGACAGCTAAATTTTTTTTTAAAACAGTAAAGTAAGAGATGTAATCTTGCAGAACTATTCAAAACACAAAGTATGTTTTTTCTAAGTAATTTTAGTTGATTCAAAACAAAATATTTTGTTCTGTGTTTGGTGTGTGAATGTTTAGAAAAATATAAAAGAGATATGTTACATATGCATATAATTATAAATGAGGATAAATGAAGATGAATATACTAAACAATTTTACTAAAAATAAACAAAAAAAACAGTATTTAAATGTAGCAAACATATTTCAACACATACGTGAAACCTATTAGTGAAACGTATTCACTAAACTGGGAACAGTGAGAAATTGACCAGGGATCTTCAAAAAGTCAAGGGGGAAATATGTACTTGGAGACATTTTTCAATACACATACCTGACTAAAGTTAGCAATTCCCCTGTAAGCCTACCTACACAATGATTGGTTTAGTGGTTAACTACCATAAATAAACATTTTGAGATCCTCTTGTCTACACAGTTTTAATGGTATTGGGACAGTACATAATTTCCAAAGGGTATATCTAATTCAAACTACATATCGCAAATAAAATGGTGTGCAATTTGCTGACCACCTATTTGTGACATCCCTTAATAGCTTCATGTATAAATGAATTATCCTGCATTGTTGAATTCAGTTTAGCATGTAATAGAGTGGCTATATCACATATTTAGCCTGTCAATATTGGAACATTTATTTTCTTTACCTATTTTGTATTAGCACGCGAGTAAAAAGTGAAAATGTGGTCATCTTAGCCTGGAAACACATGGTACAGTTAGATATGGCCAAAGACAAGCACATCTTAAAACATTCCCTTGACCTTAAAACAGCACTGTAACTTCTAAAGTTTGGATATTTTTTGGAAAGTGGCAGATCTTATGACTTTCATCAAATCTGATGTGCAAATCTGCAGTCTATAAAAATTCCTACATGTTCTTCCATAGACCTTCTCTCGTGTTATGAGGTACCAGCTCCAATCAGCCATCAGGAATAACAGCTGATGGTAAATGTCAATATATAGGAAGGATAAGCTAAGTAATGAGTATTATCAATGTTCGCCATATTGCATGTGGTAACACAGGCGAAAAGTGTCCTTGTTTGCCAAATGCTTATAATGTTAGTTTTAGTCAATGATTTCAATCAGATGAACAATGGAAGTATGCGATTAAGGAGATTTCAACTTTCTAGCATCATTTCCTCATGCGTATTGATTCCATGAAGCATAACTGCTTAGGAGCTTTAGGTAGTAGTGTAGTTAGTGGAGGCAAACCCCAGTTAAAAAGTAAAAATGTTCTAAAGTGGTTTGACTCCTTACTTTTGGGGGTGGGGGGCAGAACACCCCCTACACCATAACCACTACAGTGTGATGTAGTGGTTATGGTGCATGGAATGTTCTTGTAAATCAGTAATTGAGGAGAACTGACAAAGTAATTGAAAAGTTTAAGCCAAACTAGATAAGCAGGAAAAAAGTCTGGAGATTTCAAAATGTTTACATATCTGCTAATATGGTCTAAAATATGTGATCCCCATTTAAAGTGTATACAAATTTAGTGTAAACTTTATACAAAACGAAGGCAATCATTTTTAAATAATGTCCTTTAGCTCACTTGAGCGTAAGGACATATTTATACAACACCAATCCTCTTGATCACCTATGAGGCCTTGCTTATAACTTCCATTTCAAACAAACACATTGCACTTCACAATGTTCTGGCCGTAACTGAAGTGTAATTTTAATTTTCCTATATAATAATTATTCCTATTGTAAAGACAGAGTATAACTTATTTTCGAGCAGTAAAACAATGTGTTCCCACCAGAGAGAGATTTTTATTTTTAATATAAATTGATGAATATTTTGCCAGATGTATTCTATAATGTAGTCTACATTAGCATAGTTCTGGAAACTCGTTTGAATATTTATTTTATTCTAAGCTGCTAGATCAAGCCATTTGGTGCCCAGAAATTCTACTCTGCTTTCTATTGAACTGGTAAAACCTTGACTCTGTTACATAACAAATACACTTGTTCACTTTATACAATATTTAACTAAATAAAGTACACAATATTACTGGCTACAGTTGAAATATGTTTTTTGAGAAAAAAAATAAAAACAAAATTCTCACCAAAGTTATATGTTCAATATAAGATGCCATTTTATTTGCCAAAACTCCAGTTATAAAATGCTGTTGCTCACTATGAATCTAGACGAGAAATCTGTTCCCACCACTATTTTGATATCATATTTTGTCTTTCAACAGATGCCAAGGAGTGCCATAGATGTGCCAAGTAACGCAAAACAAAGGGGAAAGAAAAAATGCAGACAACACCTGAATAGAGATACAATTTCACAGAAAGTTGCTTCCACGTCTGGAAAGCCTAGATATTATTTAGTCCTTAATAGAACTTTTTGTGAAATGTAAACTTACAATCTCTTATAATTCCACTAATCCTTAGAGAAATATTGTGCCTTTAACACTGACTTTGAAGTTCACTGAGCATATTTATAGAGGACAAAAAGGGCTGAGGCATCTAACGTGATAATTCCATTAATAACTTTAGAAAAATGTTGTTGTTTTTTATCCTTTCAGTGTGAAAGGATTTTTTTAATACTCAGGATAACATGCCTATAATTTCTGATTTGCGGTATTTTAGCAGCACAGGCATCCATTGCTTAACACTTAGCTTGACTTCACAATAAAATAGAGAAATACACACGGATAATGATGAGGAGCCAAAGCCATAGAGATATAAAATCGTTGTGCAAAATCTAAAAGCCTGTTATAATAAAGGAAATATCTTGGTTTTTGATTTGCTTCTTGCTGTGGTTTCTGACAAGGATATCTGTAGCGTACTGCTCCACAAATCTTTGCAGAAAGCCACAGACAAATGGATATGCCCTAGTGCAGGTAAATATTGATAGATTTGCAAGTTTAAAGGTCGCTGTTACAGCCTCGGCACAGAATGTCCTCATTGTCCGGGATAAATCCCTTGCCAACAAGAGATGTAGAACAGCGTGAGCAGTTGAAGCAACTATGATGCCAATGTCGGTCTTCAAAGGACACATACTTGCCACCCCCAAAACCTAAAAGAACAAAAATAAATTATATTAGAGCACAAAATGATTGCATCCCAAATCTCATATTTTTAAACAAAACCTTTTAATATCAAATAGCATTTTGTAACAATCTCATGTGTAAGCTACTGTTTCTTAAAAATAAGCTGCTATTTTGGAGCAGGAATTAATTAGAACAAATCAAAATGCAGTCTATTATGAAAGGATATTCACAACTGGGTTTATTTCCATTTTTAATTTGTCTATTAATAAATTAGAAGGAAGAAAGATCAAGTGAATCTTTCAAATGTGTGGTAGAAATAACTTATTCACTGCATGCACTGTAGTAGTTAGGGTGCCAGAAGTGCCCTGGTACCTCCGTTGTAAGCAGTCAAAACATTTTAGAACGGTTTGATTTCGTTTGCTGATCCTTGTCTTTACTACTTTCTATTATTTATATAGCTCCAGAAAATTCCGTAGCGCTGTACTATCTGAGCTAAGCCAGTGATGCAGTGCTCAGATCACTAAGTAAGAAAAATCAGCTGGCATTCTCAGCCAATGAGCTAGCACGCATCTTCAGAACTTAATTTAGGTAAGCTAACAGAATCTCTTGCTTAGGAGAGTAGGAAATAGTTCTAAAACAGTTTGACTATTACAATGCAAGGGGGCGGGGGGGGGGTGTTTACAGGGCATTCCTCATATCATAAACACTACAGCGCGCTGTGGTGTTATAGTGCTTGGAGTGTTTCTTTGATTTTTATATCCAAGGCATCTAACATGTCGAGAAATGAATTTGCTGATCCCTGTCAATTAAGTACAGAAAATATTAAGTGAAACAAAAATACACCCGTCTATATCAAAGTGCTGAGTATCTGGAAAAACTGGGTTGAATTAAATTTTAAAAAACATGAGCACACAGAGTCTCAAGAGGAGATCCTGCACAATCTATAAATAAAGACATTATTGTGGGCCAGATTGGAGAGCTGCCAGTTGCATTCTTACTGCCTTTAAAAAAAAGACCATTATTTAAATATGTGTCAGTGAAATCCCAAAACCTGTCCCGTCACCGTTTCTGAGTGGTGTGCATACATTAAAAGAATGCATTCGTATGGTTCAAAGCCAGGATGAATTTTAAAGGGACTTGAGTAAAATGTAAATAGTATTTCAATAATATGCAATTTAGAGGAGAAAAAAAAAGTTAAAACTATATATATATATATATATATATATATATCTCTTTGGTGCCACAATTCTTAATACTGGCAACTATCTTCACTTGGTAGAAGCCAAATGTCTACTACCAGGAGGCAGATCTTTTTAATTTATGCAAAATTGTAAGTGAAGCTAAAGGAAATATAAAAGCATCTAATGATGTCATAATAGCCAATAAATGCTTAAGAGTTGATTTTGGGAATTGAACATACACAGAATGCAGGGCTAGCACCATAGTTTTACAATAAACAAGTGTGCTACTAGAGCCATAGAAATCTATGACAGGAATAGATATAAGGTTCTCCAGCGGCCTACATAGCTTCCCCCTGCTTCCTTCCTCTTTGTCTCCACACTGTGAGGAAGGTTCAGCTGGGCGGCCGGTGATAGGCTGATAGAGTTGGCTGATGCTCTCACCCACCCAATCACAGGTTGCCCATTTTGATAAATAGTACATTAATAGGGGGTTCACCATCTGGCCCCATTTGAAAATCCTTTGGCTTTGTATCTAATATATTGTCTTCCATCTAGCAGTACCCTGCAGAAACATACCTGTTATAGGTTTAATACACCCAGCACATTTTTTGGCATACAGGTTTCCAAAGCATTTGATGCAGTATGGCTTCTCATCCTGGGAAGTGAATTGTTGCCCAGCCAGCTGGGTTTTACATCCAGTGCAGACAAAGCATTCCTTGTGCCATGGCTCATCCCGGTAAGTGATTCCTCCTTTTGTCAATGACTGCAGAGAACAGATAGAAGATATATTGGACACTGGGCGGACAATCATTATTGGTAATCACTATGATAATTTAATTAAATGTACTTCTGAATTACATATACAAGCAACAACTGAATTCTATCACAGTCTTGCACCGTACCATCTCCACTTAAATTAGTTCCATGAAACTACTACCATTTCTTGTTTCTAGGATAAGTCATTACTACCCTTAAAGCTTTACAGAAGTAATATTTAAAGCTTATGTTGTCATCCAAAATATAACCATAGAAGTGCCAAATTATTTTCGTAATGCATAGTGTGCAAAAACACACATGAAAAAGTAAAGCAAGGCAAGAACAAACCCAAAGATCACGGTGTGTAATCTCTCTGGCACTTGATCATTTAAAGGACCACTATAGGCACCCAGACCATTTCAGCTTAATGAAGTGGTCTGGGTGCCAGGTCCAGCTAGGTTTAACCCTTTTGAGAAACTGCTATGTTTACCTATGGGTTAATCCAGCCTCTAGTGGCTGTCTCATTGACAGCCGCTAGAGGCACTTCCACGCTTCTCATTGTGATTTTCACAGTGAGAAGACGACAGCGTCCATAGGAAAGCATTGAGAATGCTTTCCTATGGACTGGCTGAATGTGCGCGCGGCTCTTGCCACGCATGCGCATTCAGCCAGGGACGTCAGAAGAGAGAGGAGAGTCCCAGCGCCGAGGGAGCCTGGCGCTGGAAAAAAGGTAAGGAATTAACCCCTTCCTCCCCCTTTAGCACCACCGGAGTGGGGCCACCCTCAGGGCACTATAGTGCCAGCAAAACGAGTATGTTTTCCTGGCACTATAGTGGTCCTTTAATAATTATAGTTATATTTTTCTTGATGCATTGTTTTGAATTGGAAGAGGGAGCAGTTATAAAGAACAGCAAATGTACCTGATACATATAGAGAATCATCACAATAAAAAGCTTTAATTTAAATCATCAAATTGAAATGATTTTGAATAGTCAATGTTAAGTTGGTTCCTTTTACCTTTTTGCAATGTGTGCAGCGTGGGGCAAACTTGCTCTCATAGCACGGAATGCAATAGTGAGCTTGATTCTCTGGGATGAAAGAACGAGAGCCTATGGGTTGCTTACAGCTATTGCATATAAAGCAGTGTTCGTGCCAAGTCTGCCCATTGTATTCCAATTTGCGGGAACCTGCAGGGAGAACACATGTCTGATTAAAGACCAATGCAAGATTACTGTAATGGCCTGTATAAGTTTACATATAGGGTGCCAACAAAGTGTTTGACTTTATCAAAAAGAATGCAAACATATAATAAAGAAGGAACAATTATAATTCAAATGAACTAAAATATAGACACAGAACCACACAAAAAAACTATTTAACAAAGAGAATCATTACATCCAAAGCAGTTTAGATATTGTTTCATTGTGCATTCACTCAATATTACTGTCTAGTTTTAACGAAAATCAATGAAGCAGCATATCTCTTAGTCCTAAAAGTGTGGAGAACAAATTCCCCTTAGAGGAACACTTCAACATTAAAACCAATATTCGGTTTTACTGTTTGGAATGTTATTTTAACCTTCCAAATGCCAGGTGCCAAATTCCTCCCATGAAAGTTTACTTGTTGCTGCTCAGCTACTCCCTTTCAGACTGTCAATAACAAAAGTCTCCTCTTCCTGTCCAGAAACAATTGCAATAAATGTGTCAATTAAAAGTGAGGTCCTCCCAATAGGAAAGCACTGACCCGGAAGCACCTCTAGTGGCTGTCTGGTAGACAGACACTTAAGGTGGTGTTAACCCTGTAAGGTAATGATTGCAGTTTATCAATAACTGCAATAATGTACCAATCAAACATGAGGTCCTCCTAATAAAGTGCTTCTTATAGGTAAGCAATGACTAATGCTTTCCTATTAAAGAGCTTAACTTCCACTTGAACACTCATTCAAGCGTAATAAAAACCAGGAAGCATTCCTAGTTGTCAACTTGATTGACAGGGGTATTCCCAAATTGGTTTAAATCAATTTATAAATTGCTGATTTCCCTTGACATCGGCATTTCTATGAATTGGAACAAGAGGGATGTGCTTTCGGGTGTGAAGAATCCTTTTAAGGAAGACATATAAATGTAATCTTTGCATTGTGCTAGATCGGTAAAATTTTCAGCAAATGTATCAATTAAAATGTATACCCAACTAAATGTTACCATCATAGATGCAATTTGAAGTGTGCCCCTGCCCACCTTTGGTGCTGAAATGTTTAAAAAAAAAAAACAAACCTTTTGTTACTTACCTGATTACAGCACCGATGTCCCTCGGCACTGGTCAGGCTCCCGCTCCGCTGATGCCAGTTGACGTTGGGGACCTAATGTGCATGCGCGGCAAGCGCCGCTATCATGTTAGGACCACCTTATATGAAAGCATTAAATCAATGTTTTAGCTGATGCTGGATGTCCTCATGCAGAGAGTGAGGACATCCAGCGTCATTTAGCAGACCAAAAGTCCACTTAGGACCCAGAAGTGTCTCTAGTGGCTGTCTGGTAGTCAGACACTAAAGGTGTTGTTAACCCTGCAAGGTAATTATTGCAGTTTATCAATAACTCCAATAATTACAATTGCACGGTTAAGGGGACAATTGGACTACACCCAGACCACTTCATTAGATTAAGTGGTCTGGATGCCTATAGTGTCATCCATTAATGCCAAACACATGGGAGGGTTTATTCACTAACCCTAGTTTATTTAAGAACAACTGATTTATATAAAAGAAAGATTAAATAAAATAAAATTATAAGTACAGTACTTTTAGAAACAAAAGCTTCTGGGCCATTTGATGCTCAGACGTAAAAGCTCTAGGTAGCCTGAGACCACTTTATGTTTTAACACAAGATTGTTTAAGGGCAGGACAGGACTGGGCATGGATAATGAAGGGCTATATTAAAGAACTTCAGATGGTTAGTGATTATGTGCTGCAGGAGGTTTGGAGTGTCTTAAAAAGCAAAAGCATCTGTAAGTACTATGCAGCATTTCATGAAAAATACAATAGCACTGCTGAAAAATTGTAATTTAGGATGAAATGCCTGCTTGAAAGACAGACAGTCTTTCTTTTAAGGAAGTAAGTATTCCATTGTATAATTTGGATTGCAGATTTAGCCCTTTGTCTAGTGCAGTGGTAGGCAACCTTTGGCATTTCAGATGTTGTGGACTACATCTCCCATAATGCTCTTACAGCCAAGCATCAGGGGAGACAGTATTCTCTTTTTAGGAAATCAACGCATAACTAAGTGAACTAAAGAGGACTTATCTATAATCAAAGATAAAAGAAACTTGGGAGCAAACAAACAAACTTTTAAATGTTTCAATATTTGATCATAAACATGTCACATGGTTACTTATAGAGACATCCAAGAAGTTATAAATGCGCCCCATAACCCGTTGTGGTTGGGTTGGGTTGGTTTACTTTGCATTGGCTCAGATCACTAACTACAAACTCATGTTTGCAAAGATTTTGCAAGTGATGGGTAGTTAAGCATCACATGTTCTTTTATATCGTCAGTGCAATTTATTTTTATAGTTCCACTGAGTTAAGCTATAAAAACCCATGAATTGTGACACACAGAAGTGCGGTATTTTTAATGTTATTTATTTTACTTTTTTTCCCCTCTCCGCTTGATGTTCTATGAACTCACTATCCAGGCAAACAAAATGATCTGTTTTCTAGGAAAATCCCACATGGACTTACAGTATTTTAAATATTTATAGCTCAGAGAATCCTTTAATCCCACTTCTTCTGTCCTGAGAAGACTTTTCAGTAATTCAGATCAGCACTACCGCCAAGACGGAAACAAAAGGTGAGGAGTGGTAAAATCTACTGTATGAGATCTAAAACATAACCTCAAGTCAAATGCTACCAAAAATTAAACGGACACTCTGAGGACAAAATAACTTTTGCCATAATTGGTTTTGGTGTACATAAACTTTCTCTGCAGTCCGGCAATAGTAAGATATGTTTCCATTTGGCCATAAATACATACTCTAGTGGATGTCAGACTAGTCACTCGAGGCACTTCCTCAATGGGGACTTTTTAATCACATTCAGTGACCTCATGGACAGCATGCACAGTTCCTGCTTCTGATTGGTTCAGTGTGCCGATTGCCCCCATGCCCAGTAGGTCTGTGTGAAGCATTGGACTGGATCGGAGATCATTCGAATGCAAGAAGATGAGCATACTTTGAAAGTTAAGAAACGCTAACCTTTTAAAGGACCACTATAGTGCCAGGAAAACATGCTTGTTTTCCTGGCACTATAGTGCCCTCCCGCCGGGCTGGATGCAGAGGAAGGGGTTAAACACTCACCTTTCTCCAGCGCTGGGCTCCCTCGGTGCTGGAGAATCTCCTCCCTCTTCTTCCGTCATCGGCTGAATGCGCATGCATTCCTATGGATGCGAAATGCTTTCCTATGGACGCTGGCGTCTTCTCACTGTGAAAATGACAGTGAGAAGCGCGGAAGCGCCTCTAGCGGCTGTCAATGAGACAGCCACTAGAGGCTGGATTAACCCTAGAGGTTAAGCAGAAAGGGTTAACCCTAGAGGGACCTGGCACCCAGACCACTTCATTGAGCTGAAGTGGTCTGGGTGCCTATAGTGGTCCTTTAAGGACACAACTTCTGAAATAAAAGGGATTCATGATGGAATATTTCCGTCATGTGTCCTTAAGGGGTTAAAGACAAATATATATTATTCTTAATATCCTTGTCAAAGTCTACTGTTAGCATTGTATCCTACTGATACCATACCTGCATTGTGGGGGCTCATTGCTTGATAGCATCAGCTAATCACTCTGAGCCAATGAGCTAGTCCCTGCACTGCCAGGCTTATCACATACAGGGAGTATCCCTCTCTCCAGTGGATGACGTGGAGGTTTGGAGCACCACCTGTCAAACCCAAGGTAAGAAGTGGAACCATTCAAAATGGTTTGATTACTTGCCATGGGAGTTGTTAGGGCACTGCTGGCACTATAACCACTACAGTACACTGCACAATAGGGATCAGTTAACAAACACAGGTCTGTGGTGAATTTGCAGCAAACTAGCACAATGTATATCAAATTGAAAAAAGAAAATGGCTACCCAGCAAGTTTTTCTGCAAGTCATAAAATTATATAACTTACAATTACTTTTATGAAATGTGTTACTGTCTTAGACGTCTTACTTATATATTTTTGTGGTTGCATTATTGACATTCAAGAATAAAACTTGTAAAAGAAGACCTTTGCATTATATCAACCTACAATGTTATAATCACGCATAAGGGCACTGAAGCTTAATTCACTATGCACATAATTGTAATTGTAAAACTAAATTGCAAAATTTAAAGAAATACTAACGGCACCCAGACAACTTCCATCTCATTGAAGTGGCCTGGCTGCAGTGCCCTTGCCCACTTAACCTTGCAATGTTAATTATTGCAGTTCCTGAGAAACTGCCACTGCAGAGTTAACTTATCCTCTAGCAGCGTTGCATGAGGATGTCAAGCATCTTCAAAAACCCAATAGGAAAGCATTGATTCAATGCACGCGCATTAGGTTTCAGAATTGCTGTGATGTCAACAGAGGGACATTGGCTCTTGAATTAGGTAAGGGGAAAAGGCTTATTAACTATTTATATCCTGCCAATGGATGCAGAGGGACACTATAGTTTTAGGAATGCAGTTTTGGATTCCTAACACTATAAGGTTCAAAATAACCATGTGATTGTTTTGCACATCACTTTTTCTGGTCCAAATTGTGCAATTCAATATTTCAATTTACTTGAAATCTGTGTTTACTGAATTAACTCCTGAACACAGAGCTGGCGCAACTTTAAGGCGGCACAGGCAGCTCCCTTAGATGCACCGTCCCAAGGGCCACAATATCCAGGTGACCTGAATGAGAGGAGCGCACAGCACGGTGCTTCCCCTCCTGTCAGTTACTTAATGCAGTGTTGCCATGTGGACTGCGGTAGAAGATCTTCTGTATCCTCTACCCGGTCTGACAGGATATTGCTTGCTGAGAGCACTGAACAGCTTCCTGTCAGTCAGGATAGAGGAAACAGAAGATCCTCTACTACAGCCCGTCCGGCCATGCTTCAAGGAGTTAAGCAGGCCGGCACACCAAGGTGGTGAAAGGGAAAAGGGATGGAGCTGGAGGGGGGGACAGAAAAAAGAGACAAGGTGCTGGGGGAACAGGCATACAAGGAGACAAGGTGCTCGGGAGACAAGGTTATGGAAGGGAGAAAGAGACATGGGGGGAGGAAATATAGAGATAGGCTGGGTGAGCGAGGCACAGAGAGGACAATGATGCGCATAAAAGGGTTTGGTTAGAAAGAGACACACAGAGGGGCTGGGGGGGAAAGTGACAGACAAAGGAGCTTGTTGTGAGAAAACGACAAAGGCTGGAGGAGACAGAGACACACAAAGGGGCTGGGGGCATGAGAGACACACAAAGGGACTTGAGAAAAGTAAGAGACACGCAAAGAAGTGTAAGACACACAAAGGGGAAACAGAGGATAAGATACACTAAAGGGAGATGTAAGACACAAAATGGGGGTAAGATTCACTAAAGGGAATAAGAAATTCAAAAGTGGGATTAAGAGACACAGGCACATTTTGTCCCCACCTCACAGGCACAAATGCATATTCGCCTGTGTAGCCAAAAATCGTTGCACCAGCCCAGGATAAGCATTATAGTATGATGTGCTTTTGTGCTTAAATGGTAATATCAGTACAAATGCTATTTAAACTGCAACATTTTGTACACAACACATGAAGCCAAAATAAAGATTGCAGACAACAATAGAGGAACAATGTTATCTGACAAATTGGGCACTTTCGCAGCTTATCTTTATGCATTTCTGTAACAAATATGTCAAGCAATAATTATATATATATATATATATATATATCAATATATATATAAATTTTTGACATAGTGATATATGTTAGTTGGATGATAGTTGTGCTTCATATAGAGACTGATAAAATGTATACACCTCAGACTGAGTTTCTCAATACCTGGCATGACGGTTTTCTCACAACTGACACACTTGGAGGAGAATTCACTGCAGTAACAGTCATTACACAGGAGTTCATCGTCCTGGCATGTGAAGGGCTCATCTGCCAGAGAGTGGTCACAGCGGAAGCAACGGAAGCAGTTCTCGTGATAATGCCGATTTTCATAGTATAATTCCTGTATGGTGTAAGGAAAATATTGCTTTTACAGTGTGATGTAAACCTGCAAATATATTAATACTCAGCAGTTTAATATGGTTTAGGAATTTGCATTTATATCTTGTACAGTGCAGGTCAAATCAGTAAATTCCAGAAACACAGACACACAATCCCATAAACAATGACATATGCTTGAAGACTCCCTATCAAATAAAATGGTAATAAATACTAAACATCTTAAATCTTATTTGTTTGTTAAGTTTAGATCTACAAGATAAGCAATATCCAGACTAGCTTGACAGGCATTGTAAATAATATCCTCAAAAGCGTTACCCACCCCCAAACAGCAGCAACAGAACTGGAAGACTCACCCAGAGGAGAAATATTTTGTATCTGAGTCACACTATTTACACCCACTGTGGCAATATCTAGTTTCAGTGTAGGCAGCTGCTGGCCTAGTTTTTTTTTTTTTTCTCAAAGCAGTTCAGCAATGCCTTACAAGTCAGTCTGTCTACTAGTGCTATACAAGGAATTTCTTAACCCAGGTTCATATGAAAAACATAAAGGATCATATTTTTTTAAAGAGACACTAACCACAATGGCTTGGAAGGCATAGGTGACAAGCCATTTAAATTCAATAAAAAAAAAAAGTTCAATCCCGCTACTTGTGATATCGTAATGAAAAAAAATGACCTTCTCACTAGTTAGTGAGCATGCAATACTAAGTACAACGCACAATGTACAGTGTAGTTCACTGAAGTTGTTTTATTGCAGCCCAATCACCACTACAACTTTAAGGCCTTATTCCACAAAGCAGCGAACAGAAAGAAAACCACTTCCTTTCCATTCCTCTCTGCAACTTTACGGTCTAATTTGACAAAGCAACTAACAGAAAGAAAGCCACTTCATTTCCACTAAGCACTAGTTCCTTCTAGTTTTATAGCATGCTTTTCAAGCTGTTTGACATCACACTCTGTCACTATGTCTGATCTCCCCATTTTAACTTTTAGATTGTAAACTTATGGGCTATCTAGCAAAGTTCTCGGTATAAATAATCTTCAGGGGCTAGATCTTCACTCACTGGCAGGGCCCTCTTTACTTTTTGTATTGGTCTGTTTATATTGTACTGCCTTTTTCCTCAATTGTACAGCGCAGCGTGAAATATGTTGCTGCTTTATAGCTGCCAGTAAGAATAATAATAAGAAGAAGACAAAAAAAATGCAGCCTAATGAGGAAGTGACATTATCTAATTAAGATGATGCAAGCTGAATTTTTGGTCTTGTGGTGCCAAGGAATCTGGAGGGATTGCAATCACAGCCTCCTAGGACCATGACAACTATATTCAGATGTAGGTTATTGTGCTTGAAATGTACATTAAGCACAATTCTAGCAAAAAGTAATAAAATAAGATTGATTAAAAAATACAAGGTGCATAACAGATAAACTACAATGCTTCTTGACGGATATATCATTTATAGCACTTGAGGATCCTTCTCTATCAAAAAAATAAATGTATATTTTCATGCATGTGTTAACACTGGTCACATACTATGCCCACTTATAATTTTAAATGACATGATAGAGATGTACATACCCGAGCATCATGGCCAATTAGTTCTTTGCACTCATCGCATGTGTTAGCAAACAGGTTGTCATAGCATGGAATGCAATAAGGACCCTCGTCCATCTGGATGTATTTTCTTCCATACAGGGACTCCTTGCAGCTTTCACAGTCAAAAGGATCACTCATGATTCTTCAGAGAGTTTCTGTAGAAAAAGCAGTTACATCATGAAACATATCCAATGGTGTGAAAAACAAAATTGGAGGAGCTTACATTAGCTCTCTTGGGTGGTGAGTACCACCACCACACTATTAACTCCTTCAATATCCAAATCACTTATAAACATTTATATTTTTAGGTATTTTGCATTATGAAATCTAGTCCATAAAGCCTCACATACCCTCATTTACAGTCATGTTACGATTGCCAGACTGTGATGGCTTCCAATCATCCTAATCACAGCAGGACAATCTCAATTTTAGGGACCTGTCTCGCCATCCCAAATTTATTCCCTCGTGTTCTGGACTTGGGGACACCAGGAAACTGTCCTTAAAAAGTGTAGCTTGAATGCATCATCACATGTGCTCACGCTACACTCAGGGCTTTAGGACCCTGCAGACAACACTGAAGTCTGCAGTCTGTGCTTAATTGACAGGCAGTTTGGGCTGGATTTGAGCTGACCTGTCCCCTTTCTGGGTATGCACCCCTCTTTTGGGTGGAACAAATTACACAATCATATTACCTTCCTGCTCCTTTTACCCTCCTGCCACCTGTGTCCCCCCGATATTGGAGGGTATTGCCTGTAAAGGAACTAATTTCTGTGCCAGAAGTTAGAGTCACTAATATAGTGCCTGTGATCCTTGCTGATATTGTCAGCTCACTCAATGTTTTCAAACTATATAGGAAGTTTTAGTCGGCCATATTATTCCTACAGTCAGGGAGAGGATAGGGAGTGAATGGACTCTATAATTTCAGCAATACATTAGTAGTTCAGAGATTGATAAATATTGCTATAGCATTTTTGAATAAATTTACTTTAGAAATATATAATTTAACTGTATTTACTGCATGTGGACATTATGCTCAAATACAGATTTTCATTTTACATTTTGCTGCCTTTTTTAGTACGCTATACTGCTACAAATGCCTTTAGGTTCTTTGCAAATACCTAAAAGTGAAGTATTTGACCCGTTTTGTTTAGTTTTTTTCATCATATCTACTCTATGTGAGAAAAAGAATGCATATTTGCTTTTATACTAACATTTCAGGACAAATATCTCAAGATAAAGCGCACTAAACACAGTTTTTCTAAAAGATATTTTATCCCTAAATAAAATTTTAAGCACTTCATGCATTACTAATCATTTTCTTCAGTTTGACTGCTTGCACGGGTGGGGTAACAGGGTACTCCTAAGACCATAACCACAACAGCTTGCTGTACATGTTCCTTAAAGCTACATATTTTTCAATACACATACCGAATGACATAAATCCTAGGCAGTTCTCTTACAGGCTAGTAAAGAAACATTTCTTGTTAAAACTCTTGCAGAGAGAGTGGTTCACCCCTTCGTCTACTCATCATTCAGCTACTCCAACAGAAAAAGGCCTATCTTTCTAGTTCCCAATTAAAAAATATATGTGCTGCAACTGTGGTAAAGTAAGGGTAATTTCAGTCCATCTAAAAGCACTTTAACAGCAATCAGGGTATGATCAGCCCTGATTTGCCTTGCGGGGCAGCTGGTAACGTTTGCTCTCCAAATAATATGTCCCTGTTATATTCACACATCTTCTGTGATGCTAGATGTGTCACCTCTCAGCCCCGCACCTACCTACTCCCTCTTCTGATTTACAAACTTTGAAAGTCTGCATTAGTACATCCAGAGGCGTAACTAGAAACTACAGGGCCCCGGTGCAATAATTGCCCTGCCCCACCCTAGCCCCTCAATTTGTATAATAACACATACAGATACAAGCGCGGACACACATGCTAATACACAGCCACACAGAATGACACTTCTACAGATACAAACACTGACACACATACAGATACACAGACACACACGCGAATACACAGACACACATACAGACAGATACACATATAGACACATGCAGATGCACATAGAATGACACGCATACAGATACAAACAGTGACACACATACAGATGCATAGGGGCACACACTGACACACATGCAGACAAACAGATACACATACAGGCACATGTGCAGAAAAACAGACACTCATGCAGACACATATGCAGACAAACAGATACAAATACAGAACACACAGACACACATGCGTATACACAGACACACATAGAGACACAAGTGCAGATTCACAGACACAATGACAAACATTAAGATACTCAGAATGACACGCATACAGATATAAACTGTGACACACATACAGATACATAGGGGCACACACTAAAACACATGCAAACAGATACACATACAGACACCCATACACAGACACACAAACTGATTTTACTCACCCTCCTGCTTCCTACCTTTAGGTGCAGAAGGGTGACTTCCCGGGGGTCCAGTGGCTGACTTCGGCTGATGGGAGTCAGAGCTCCCACTCTGACTCCCTCCTCTCCTCCCCTGTGCCCTCCACCCACGTGGCTCTCTTAGCTGGGAGGAAGTGATGACTTCCTCCCAGCGCCAGCAGGCGCTCTGATGTCATCACTGGGGCCCGGTCACACTCTTAAAGCACCCCAGCGCTGACCGGGCCCCAGGTAATTCACACAAATTCGGCGGGCACCGCATTCGCAGAAGGCAGCCAGGCCCCCTGGAGTGACGGGCCCTGTCGCAGCTGCGACCGCTGCAACCTCGGTAGTTCCTCCAGTGAGTACATCTTAAAATTATTTTAATATTAATTTCAGCATAAATATTGGGTTTCTTGCTCACCTAAAATAAACATTTGTGATAAGTGTATACTTTTATTCAATGAACTAAGAACCAGTCGTTTTCTGACATAATTACAAAGATTCCATGACATCTCACTAAAGCACGTTAATTTAAACACAGTTTCATCTTTACAGTCATTTATTAATGGGCTTTCTTTAGGCAACAGCCATCAGAATGTTACATCACATCCTGCATTCTGATCCTTTAACATCATATTACCTTTCAAAAAACCTTTTTAGCTGTCTGAGGCACTTCAGCACTGTACAATTTAAGCACTTGGTTGAACTTACTGATTCAATTAGGTCCCTTTTCCAAAATCCAAGGAAATGAATGAAAAGAAACCCATTACCATAGCAAATATAGTTTACTGTTACTGCCGGAGGGATAACAATACTTGCATCATTTTAGGGTCAAGCCACATCAGCTCTGTCAAAAACCCTTGGATTTAATCTGTAAAGGATTAATTGTGAATGAACAAGTTCGTTTCAAACCATTGGCTCTTCCCCCTGGCACTTACAGCTGCAATTTCTTACAAAGTACAACATCAGGAAAGTTCTAGGAATTTTCTGTTTTAGAACACTCCAGGCACCATAACCACTCCAGCTTTTAGCTCGGGTGAGCTAACAGAGGTTAAGTGCAGGAGTTTCCATCTGAATTATCACAGATAATTTGTCAAACCATTGTTAAATGTTTTAACTACTAACCTTGGGATGGCTCCAGGTCACTCCTGGCAACATAATCACTACAGCGGACTTAGAAAGTTCCATTAACTTCAACGTGTCGATGAAGGCAGCCCTTTCTCAATGAACCATTGTTACTTATTTTCAATCAGTTCAGACAAGTAGCATTAACAAACACAGGTTTGATTCATTGTAGCCATATCATTGATAACTGAGTTACTCATACCAATGTCTGGGAAAGCAATATATCTTCCAGAGAATTATATCTCATCTGCACGCTGTTGTTCAAACACAACTTTTCCTTATCAGAGTCCATATCCCAGGTGTGACGCTGGAACCCATCTCGTCTCACCCTTTCCATCCCCATTAGATCAACAAGCAAAACGCAGAGAGAGAGAAAATAGGAAAACAATACCAGAGATATCAAAACTGTTCAGGAAATAATAACCAAACAGCTTTCTCTCGGGCTACTGACCATGAAATAACTACAGACTGAGAACTCATTGAGGACAGACATTTCATAGTTTAGGATTAGACGTTTCAATAACGCCAAAACACAGAGAGGTACAAACTGCAATTGCTTCATTGGTAGAGCCACAAAATATTTAAGCTCAAAACTGGATTTTTAAAGTTTTAAAGAGAAACTACCATCCAAACATTATTTTCTGTTATTTTCATAAACAAATGGATGGACTGAAACATACTAATGGAGATAGTTGGTATAAAGTAACATAGAAAAATATGAGGTTGAAATATTTTTTTTTGCATCCACAATAAAAATAAAAATAAATAAAAATCATCCTTATTTAAATGCATGTTATAGTCATGCATTTCTCTGGCGAAGATCATTAAAAGTGTCAATTTAAATATTTGCTTTTGGTAATGTGGAAGTTCTGAGTGTAAATATACATTTTGAAGATTTCGTTTCTAAGCTCGTACGGCACCTGCTTGGCCAATTTACCTACAATTTGCTATCAAACACTCACAGCTTGTTCCTCTCTTCTCACACCCATAACATATTTTCTTTCACAAGCAGGAGACCACCTAGAAGGATAGACACCAGCAGAAAATAGACCTACTCAGTGGCAACCTCTCTATATCTGGATGATTTGAAGGACAAAATAGCCTACTGATACAGGGCAACTAAGACCCTTCTTTTGCCGTCAGGCATTTAATAAGAGTATTGGCTATGACCCCCCTACATGGCAGACTGGACCTATGGAACTGGAGTCTTGTCATGTTAGTGAGACACTAGGTAACTGCTGTTAACATCTAACGCCTTCAGAGAAACCAGAGTAAAATTTTAACTTGTTCTAAAACCAGTTAATGACACTTGATTTAAAATCATGTTAGATTCGTGTAAATCACACAATCTAAACCAAGTTAAATCTTCAAGTAAAATTCTTTGATCCACATATGTATTTTTAATGTAATATCAAACTGTGACTTTGTTCTTATGTAAAATAATTGTAAAATTACTATAAATACAGAGGCTCTACTAAAATCTGAAGATCATGTCCCCCATAAATTGTACTGTATTATTTTACTGCAGCTAACATTTGGTTATGTGAAGGTTAATACATACTCCTAGATTAAGCCATCTTTGCAGAGAGGTTTCTCATATGTGAGAGGATCCTCTGGCTTTAAGTTTCTGATTTCTCAGAGAACGACTACAACAATCCTTTCTGGGATGGAAATAGTTACACACAATGAAATCATTAAGGCTTTACTTGCGTGCAGTTACCTTGCTGCCAAATATGAGTTCATTCTAAAACAAAATGTAAAATGTACAAGAAAACATCCATTCTAAGGCTCATTTATTTTAGAATTTGTCCTATTACTGCTTAATACGTTGGCAATCAAGTAAAAAAATAGTTTTCTCAGCATGAAGCTATTATAATTATACAGTATAAATATATGATATATAATGTATATATATTATTATTTATAAAGTGCCAACAAATTCCACAGCGCTGTACAATAGGTGGACTAACATCATAGGCGTGCGCACGGGGTGTGCCGGGTGTGCCTGGGCACACCCTAATCCCCGTGCGCACCCCTATGGTTTGAGTCCTGCAGGAACAGCGTTCCTGCACTCTTTTGAGCAGGAACGCTGTTCCTGCAGGCACTCAGTGCCCCCCGTTTCACCTCTTGCCCCTGTCATGGGAGGGCAAGAGGTGATGATTCCCCCCACCCTGCAGCTCAGCCGCGGCGAGGGAGCTCTCTGCTCTCTGCTTCCTCTCGCCGCGCGCTGATGCCGGGAGCCGGAATATGACGTCATATTCCGGCTCCCAGCTCCAGCAGACAGCCCCGCGCGAGAGGAGCAGAGAGCAGAGAGCAGAGAGCAGAGAGCTCCCTCGCCGCGCGCTGACCTGCAGAGAGGCGCCCGCCCCCACTGGACCCCAGGGACAAGTCCACCAGCACTCCAGGTAGGAGGCTGGGTGGACATTTAAAAAAAAATTTAAAATATAATAATTTGTGTGTGTGTGTGTGTCTGTGAGTGTGTGAGTATGTGTCAGTGTGTGTCTGTGAGTGTGTGTCAGTGTGTGTGTGTGTCTGTGAGTGTGTCAGTGTGTGTCTGTGAGTGTGAGTATGTGTCAGTGAGTGTGTGTGTGAGTGTGTGTGTGTGTCAGTGTGTGTCTGTGAGTGTGTGAGTGTGTGAGTATGTGTCTGTGAGTGTGTGTGTCAGTGAGTGTGTGAGTATGTGTCAGTGTGTGTGTCAATGTGAGTGTGTGAGTATGTGTCTGTGAGTCTGTGAGTGTGTGTCAGTGTGTGTCTGTGAGTGTGTGAGTATGTGTCTGTGAGTGTGTGTGTATGTGTCAGTGTGTGTGTGTGTGTGTCTGTGAGTGTGTGAGTATGTGTGTGTTTCTGTGAGTGTGAGTGTGTGTGTCTGTGAATATATATATACGTATATTATATATATATACACACACACACACGCGCGGCGTGTGTTTGTGCTTTAGGGTGCACACCCTAATGCAATAGGCTGCGCACGCCTATGACTAACATACAAAGATTTGCAACAAGATGAGTTGGATGCACAGGAACAGAGGTGTTATATATTTTTTCAAAACATAATCACATTATGTATAAGATATATTGTGTGTAAGATATATATATATATAGCCTTTAATTACCATAAGGCCTTGAAGCGATAATTCTGCCTCTATCCTTAAAGGACCACTCGAGGCACCCAGACCACTTCAGCTTAATGAAGTGGCCTGAGTGCCTGGTCCAGCTAGGGTTAACCCATTTTTTTTTAATAAAAAGAACAGTTTCAGAGAAACTGCTATGTTTATAAATGGGTTAATCCAGCCTCTAAAGCCTCTAGTGGCTGTCTCATTGACAGCCGCTAGAGGCGTTTGTGTGCTTCTCACTGTGAAAATCACAGTGAGAAGACGCCAGCGTCCATAGGAAAGCATTATGAATGCTTTCCTATGAGACTGGCTGAATGCGCACGCAGCTCCTGCCGCGCATGCGCATTCAGCCGAAGAGGAGGAGAGGAGGCGGAGAGCTCCCTGCCCGGCGCTGGAGAAAGGTGAGTGTTTAACCCCTTCCTCTCCCCAGAGCCTGGCGGGAGGGGGTCCCTGAGGGTGGGGGCACCCTCAGGGCACTATAGTGCCAGGAAAACGAGTATGTTTTCCTGGCACTATAGTGGTCCTTTAAAAGAACTTGATACTGCAGCTTAAGTTAAGTATTTGAGCTGTTTTTTAATTAACTAAAATTCATTTTTAACTTTAAGGACTAGAGGCTAATCCCTCAATCAGGGTGTGACAGGCATGCAATTTATTGTTAAGAGATTAATCAATTAAATCCCAACACTGCCACTAACTGTAATAAAAGCACCAACTTACTATATTACTAGTAGAACAGAATAGTATTCTAAATGATTTGTTCATGGTAAAGGGCCATGGACAACAGCAAAGGTTGCCATGTAGAAAATGTTATATAGAGTGCTAAAGCACTCTGTATGCTCCATGTGCCTGATGCACAGTGCAAGCATTTCTAATGATGCATTTGAGATGTTTTGCAAGAAGACAGATCCCTGGTATCCCCGAACGCGGGACACTAGAGAACAAAATTGGGATAGCAGGACAGGATCCTGAAACTGGGACTGTACCACCAATAGTGGGACTGAAATTATAAAAACAATAACAATATGTATAAATGAAGAAAATTATAAAATAAATCCTTTATTGCATTAAAATAAATCATCTCTGACAATAGATTCTAATTAAACTACTCTGCTTATGACGCCTCCTGTTGATCTGACAAATAGGATACAGTAAACAAATTATTTGGAAAACACAAGTTCAATTACATGTCAAAATCACATGGTATTTACATTTTCTGAAAAATAATTCATCAAAAAGAAATATGTTCTTGGCATATTATTGTCAATCCTTTAACATTTAACGTTTTTACATTTAGTAACAGATCATTCACGTCATAAGTTTTCTGTAGATTTGAGAAGTTTGAAGATATAACAAAATCCCATGCTTTTAAACAATGAACCTCTTCTGTCTGTATTTTGAGCCAGTGCCAAATCAGAAAGTTTGCAGTCTGCAGTTAATCCACTCATGTAATGATCACGACCAAAAGGCCATGAAAACAATTATATCACAGCCGACTGCTTTAGTCAAACATTGGTGTATATTAAGGAAGCCTCTGTTGCTTTGTCTTTTAAAGTTCTTCCAGCAAAAAAATTTAAAAAAAATCTTCAAACTTGGGTTTTAAAAAAAAAAAAAATAGTTTTCCTAATTAAGTTGTTGAATATTAGTTGGCCCACAACAACCTAAAACTATCTTATCTATAACTTTTTAACAACTTGTACTGCGTTGCCTTATATAGTCCTGATTTCAAACGATGTGCAGTTTGTTGAGACCACAGTTAGAACAAAACAAAATACAATTATTTCTATGTAACCAAGCCTTGCTGCTTCAATCAAATGCTAGAATCGGCAGTATTGTATTGATAAACCGAGTTTTACTCAGTTATGCAGGCAAAAAACAGATATTTTTTACATTAAAGGGTTACAAATACAGGACCCAGTGTTGAAATGGTCAGAGTGACTTTAGTGTTTCTTTAAGTTCAACTACTCTTAAATTTTAAATTCACTTTGAATTCTCACTTTAGTAATTAAGCCTGTTGGTGTTGGGCTTTTCAAGGCACAGAAACCAGGGAGCAATGCATAAGAACCAAAATGAAAACCTCACTTAGAAAACCCACCAAAATTGACGGTTAAAATGAAGCAAGTGTAGAAATGTAAAAATGGCTCTAGTACATAGTGACATGACAAGTCTAATGATACACTTGTGCTGAACTGACACAAGGGAACAGACTTTGTATGGCACCCTGAATTTGCAATCAAGTGGTTAATGTGCTTGGAGTGTTCCTTGCTTTCTAGATCCCAAGTATTTATACATCACTATATGTGCGACATCCTCCATTCCTTGATAAAACCAGGATGGATTCTGAAAAGGACTCACTGGAGTATAAGCACATACACATAAACACAATGGAGGGCACCATCTAGAGTTGGTTTAATTAAAATTGTACCTAAAAACTAGCAAAAGTGCAAATTTAGAGCCAATTTAAAAGGCTCCAACTCAAGTGAGTGCAAAGTGTCTTGTGGTAATTAATCATACATTATTACACTAGATTATGTAGATTTTCAATTTTGTGTTTGAGCCATTTCTTTTAAGAAGAAATCAGCAAAGAATTTTTCACTTTTAAAGTTTTAAAGAGGTATATGCTGGAAGCTGTGAACTAAGCCATATTGGAGGGGGTGGTATGCAATCCCTGCTGGCTTGGAAATACTACTAAATATGATTTTCATAAAATATAAATACACAAGTGAACTTTAAATATAGATGAGGGTACTAGCAAGTTAACCATTTGCATACTTGTCGGGTGAACTGCTGTCACGTTTTGGTGTTATACCACTATGTTTTGCTTGTTTTTTTTATCGAGCACTATCTTTGGTAGAAATATTCTGAAACAACATTAACATATTTTATCGATGTACAGCATATTTCTCTATATTATGTGCGTGCCTTTGAAACAAAGCTAATTAGCATGTTCAAAATGAGGTCACCCTCTTGTAATTAAATTTAACTGACATTTTAAACAGGTTTAAACAGCTTGTTTAATGAGCCAGTTGTTGAAAGTGTAAACTCTGTGGGCAGAGATGCAGAAGCAATATAATATAGTCTTTTCTCGTTTTGAAAATGAACAATGAGATCACACATCTAACATGATCAGTCAGGTTTCATGTCTTGGTTAGATATCTGATTATTTTTCTCTGTCACTGACAAAGAAGGATCCCAAAACATTTAATTTGTGTTATAAAGATTACACAAACGATTCCAGAGAACTATTGTGAAATCCACAATTATTATAATATTATAGAGAACTAAACAGCTGTGTAACAGATTCCCTGCCTCCACAACCATCTCCCAAGAGCTGTAAGTTTGTCTGCCATTGAGCTAAACCCTGCATTGAAAGGAAAAGGTAATGTAAGTTCCCTCTGTGGAACTTCTGACTCTAGGATAATGGTAGTGCAAAACCAGCACAGCGTAGGGAAAAAGATGAGTAAAAAACACCACCTTTCCTTTCTATAGGTCAGGAAAGGTGTTTTAACACCTTTTTCCCCCTACGCTGTGCTGGTATTGCCGTGGCTGGCCCCACCACCATGGCGGAGATCATCGGTCTTTATGATCTCAGCCAATCCATTGCTTATCAATAGGAAAGCATCTGGAGGCTATTGCAAATGACGCTGTGCTAATCAGCATCTTCTCCTAGAGATGCATTGAATCAAAGCATCTCTATGGGGAACATTCAGCATTAAACGTAGGTTCTGCACAGTGTGCATCACTGGACTAGGAAGCACCTCTAATGGCAGTCTGAGTGACTGTCACTAGAGGTGTAACTAGGCAGCAATGTAAACACTGCCTTTTTTTTTTTTAAGAAAAGATAGTGTTTAGGGCTCAGACACTAGAAGTGCTAAAATAAACTGTAGTGGCTCTGGTGACTTGTATTGCAACATACACACATCATATACAAAATAGATTGATAATACCTCCATCAACTGTAGCACACAATCCCTAGTTTTGTCAGATGTGAGAAGTAAGATGTAAGCAAACACAATTTGTGGAACGTAATTCATAAAGGAGAAAACACTTGTAAGATAAAGTGAGCAAGCCTGACTGCAATTGGATTTTGCAAAAGTCTCTGGTAAAAAAATAAATAAAATCACAAAGGTTCATTTAAAAGGAGTAAGAAAAGAGCAATGTTTTGGTCTTTACGCATGGCCTGACAGTTAGTCTTTGATATGGATTTGGGCACAAGTTCATAAGACAGGCAACTGGAAAGAGAACTGAGGCAGGAGATAAAATGATTTAAGATAATACGAGATTTTAGTTATGCAGGCAAATAGGTCAAACAGTTTTTCTCTGCTGTGGAAAATATTTCCCTAGAATTGCAGAAAATGACTTAATATCTTTATGTTTAAGGTAAGAACATAGGGTTATTCATTGAGATTTGAGGATAGGGGATCCCATAACCATCAACTGAACAGTATTTTTCATGGTAAGGGTAGTTAAGATGCTAAGTTTAGTGCCATTAAATATTTAGTTAAACAGAGAAAATATCTTTAAAGCCAGTTTTGATTATAAAAAAAAAAATACAGTATCGCATACCTCTCAACATCTTAAATGGAAAAAGAGGGACACTTTATAGTTTTAGAGGTGTGAGTGGGGGTATGGCCAGGTGATTGGGCTGTTCTGAGGAATTTTAGATTACGTACTAATAACAATTTATGCAATTAAAATGTAAATAAGAACAATATGTATTATTTACACAGACTGATTAACACATTTATTGTAGTTTAAACACATTACTGTGAGTGTTATTGCTGTGGAGCTCTGTTATACATTCAGACACACCAACAATATGAAGCTTCTAGAAAAGAGGGACATTAGGATAGAAAAGTAGGACAGATGGATTTAAGATTAAAAGTTGGATTTTCTAAATAGGGAAACACTTGGGAGGAATTGTATGATACCATTTAAACACAGTTAACATGTTTAAACAGGGAATGCATTTTTACCATCAGAGTAAACAATTAGTCTTTTTTGTTCTAAAACCCCATATATAGGAGTGGGACTGGCGATATGAGGTACACTGTAGGCACCCAGGCCACTTCAGCTCATTGAAGTGGTCTGGGTGCTGTGACCCTTTTGCACTTAGTGCTGCAATGTTTAACAGTGCAGTTCCAGAGAATCATGATGCCATGATGAGGCAGTAGTGGTAGTTAGGACACTAGAGAAATGCTACGACAGGAAGTAGCAGTAGGACACTTTGAATTGACAAATTGTCAGGCTGATATTTCAGGTTCTGCCACCATTGGGTCTTTTTGGCTACTAGAGTATCCTCAAGGAAGGAGACAGTTATCAGAGTAAACTGGAGCAAAGATTATCATTAAGCCAAAAATTCTCAGGAGTGAAACAGACTGGAAACAGACTGGAAGCCAGTAAAGAAATTCTAATTCATACAGACCAGGCAAATGCAGACAGCTGAGTAAAGGTAACTGGATACCTGTCTGCAAGCAGTATGAAGAGGTACAATTCTAAAATCACATTGGAAAGTAGACAAATCAAGTTCAGGTAAAATCAAAGTGTCAGCATGTGAGAAAGCAGGCATTTATTGATACAATTATTTTTATACAAAAGTAGCAACTGAATAATTTACTATGGACTTAAAGGACCACTATAGTGCCAGGAAAACATACTCACCCTCAGGGACCCCCTCCCGCCGGGCTGGATGGCAAGGAAAGGGGTTAAACGTAACTTTTTTCCAGCGCCGGACGGTGAGCTCTCCTCCTCCTCTCCGCCTCCTCTTCGGCTGAATGCGCATGCGCTGCAGGAGCTGCGCGCGCATTCTGACAGTCTCATAGGAAAGCATTCATAGGCTTTAGAGGCTGGATTAACTCATTTATAAACATAGCAGTTTCTCTGAAACTGCTATGTTTATAAAAAAAAGGGTTAATCCTAGAGGGACCTGACACCCAGACCACATCATTAAGCTGAAGTGGTCTGGGTGCCTAGAGTGGTCCTTTAAAGACATGGCAAACCTGCAACATCTAGTACCTGCAAGTGATTCGTTTTTTCTGTTGGACAAACTACAGAAAGAACACCGATGCTTATCTTATGCCTAACAGAAACATTTCTCCAAACCTCTACTGCCAAAGTTCAATACAGAAAATACTGTTTGGGGGCTTCTCATTGCAATAAATAATCCAGACTCCAAAATTTAGATCAGGTAAATTCAGCTATATAAAATAGCATTTCTATTTAAAAATAGAAAGTCCAATCATATCTTATGATATTGTGTATATTTGATTTGTTCACATCATACCAGATGTATGACATTTTCAATGTAAATACTTACCTATGGCATGTCCCCTGCAATTTTCTATTTTAAAGTTGTATTTCCAAATATACTGGATGTCATTGTGATAAAGTTCAATACTGCAATTCATTCGCTTGCACAAACAGAAAGGACTAAAGATGGCTCAGCCCAATGTAATTAAAAGTTTGCATATAGGGATGCCCGTAGCCCTAATCCCGTGGTTACCAGGGGGAGCTGGAGGAATGCACCCATATATGTATAAGCCACTATACAGGTCTGGCACAGGATAGCAGGAAGGAGCGGCCTTACTTCCTACCCATCGTCACTCCTTCCTTTGACACACAACGCTGACTTTCAACCCGGGCCTCGACCCTAGCGATTTCCAAGCCCTCTACCCAGACTCACTGCCCAGACTCCACCACCTCCACTCTGAGACGTGACTGAGATCTCTCCCAAACATTTTAGGGGAATCAACTCCAACCTTTCTACAGATATTCAAATACAAACAGCTGACTAGCTATAGCAAGACCCTACCACAGGGGCATGTGCTGAAACGCACCCCCACACTATTTGAACAGACCTGTATGGATCCAGAGCCGCTCCCACACGGAGTGTCCTTCCTCTATTCAATGCTGCAAATGCTCATCCCAATAGAGTCCCCAAAATTTATGGGGAAATGGGAAACGGCCCTGAACCGCAGGTTTTGGCGAAGGGGAGTGGGATAAAATATGCTACCTAACACACCGCTGCTCCGTCTTCAGCAAAAATCAGGAGTCAGCTTACAGATTGCTTACAAACTGGTATCGCACCCACGACATGTTGCACATGATGAACCCGGATTACCCCGCGCAGTGCTGGACATGTGATGCCAGGCTGGGGACGGCTTTGCACATATGGTGGGAGTGTGATACGATACAACCTTTCTGGAGGGGGATATACGGCATGTTACAGGAGTTTACTGACCAGCCGCCCCCCTTCAAACCTGCTTCAATGATCCTACACCACACAACCATACCGAGCACTAGATATAAAAAAACAATTACAATTAGTATCCTGAATGTAGCAAAACAGATAATCCCCTAATCTTAGAATAACAAAGACATACCCACACTGGAAAAATGGTTCAACCAGATGGACGACTTGAGGATCATAGAGGACCTACACATGAAGTCCACAGATAAAACACAAAAATACCTAGATGTTTGGGCACACGGGCTGCTGACCACAGCCGGAGAAGGGTTTGCTGGCAAACTCCATTACTAGGATGACGCTTCTTACCACACCTTCCCGCACTAAGGGGGTCAACATCCCTACCCTGACAAGTTCAGATAATGGCAATTCCCAGCCTCTCTCTTTCCATCCCTACTATCCCACCTTTTTTCCCTATCCCTGATACTGGTCAGACAGAATTATTGTACATGCCCCTGACAAATATTCGTAAGACGCTAACATATGTGACTCTTCGTTAACACTAGTTTAATGACTCAAAGGACCTAGGCACCCAGCATGTGCTATACTATCCAATAAAATAGAGACCTGCACATCTCGAGCGTTGGTTTTAACTTGATACATCTGACAAGTTCATTATTTTTTCACAAATCAAATATTTATTATACAGATGTTGCTGAATGACAACTCTTATGATTCTATTAATGAAATAGATAGGCTGAGAATCATGGGAGTTGTAGTTCAGCAACATCTGGAGGGCCAGAGTTTGGGGAAGCCTGCGGTAGAGAATATTGAGGAGGCCATGCTTGGTTGAGAAACCACAACCCTTTCCTTGCCATTATCAGAGTAATGGAAAAGCTTAAAGGACCACTCTAGGCACCCAGACCACTTCAGCTTAATGAAGTGGTCTGGGTGCCTGGTCCAACTAGGGCTAACCCATTTTTTTTTTTTATAAACATAGCAGTTTCAGAGAAACTGCATGTTTATAAATGGGTTAAGCCTTCCCCCAAATCCTCTAGTGGCTGTCTCATTGACAGCCGCTAGAGGCGCTTACGTGATTCTCACTGTGAAATTAATCACAGTGAGAGCACGCAAGCGTCCATAGGAAAGCATTGATAATGCTTTCCTATGCGACCGGCTGAATGCGCGCGCAGCTCTTGCCGCGCGTGCGCATTCAGCCGACGGGGAATGGAGGAGGATCGGAGGCAGAGAGCTACCCGCCCATCGCTGGAAAAAGGTAAGTTTTACCCCTTTTCCCCTTTCCAGAGCCGGACGGGAGGGGGTCCCTGAGGGTGGGGGCACCCTCAGGGCACTATAGTGCCAGGAAAACGAGCTTGTTTTCCTGGCACTATAGTGGTCCTTTAAGGGTTTACCATAAACAAATGGAATTCATAGATAAGTGTCTTTTTTTGCTGCTATTCTTTAAAAAAATTTGGAGTATCATTTACAAAATGCATTTTAAAAGGAGTCAACATCTTCCTGGAATGCCCCCTATTAAATATCTATTTAGTTTTATACAAAGACATAATAAAATGCCTTTAGGGCATTTTATTAGGACTTCGTAAAGGGTGTTATTACAATGACTTATGAGTCACAGTTTATGAAGAAATAAACAGTACTCTATAAAATCCTAATGCGAAAAAGACATTAGCATTTTTGAACAGAAATAAACTTCTACTTGGAGCTTATTTACATACAAAACTCTCCATATAAAGCCTGTGTTTACAACTCAGAACTGACATGCTTGGCAGACCTGAAATTTGGATAAGGTTTGGGGGGCAGCAGGCTCGTCGTCTTGTGCACAAGACCGTCGGGGTTATTCACTAAAGTAAGAATTGTCAGGAATTCAAAGTGAAAATGCAAGGCAAAGCAGCTGAAGTGAAACCATAGCTGACTCTGAGAATGTTTCAGGTTTGGCTACTGTGGCTTTAAATTTGAATTTTACTTTGAACACCTAATAATTATCACTTTAGTAATTAGCCCTGCTCGACTCAACTAGGATCATGGGTAGTGTTTCAGGCCACTAAGGGATACCGTGTCAATGCACATGCATGCCAGGATGACAATCATGGCTTCCCAAATGAAAAATTGTTGCAAAATCACTCATGCATGAGGTTAAATGCCCTGTACGTTATGGCAAGAGCAGCATGAAAGCGTTTAAACATGTGCTCATGAGGCAATTTAGAACAGTCCATCCAACACAGAGTGACTAAGCCTGTCTGCGTCACATGAAGATGTTGTATGACTTGACAAGAGTCCTCATGTGTTACACAAGGACATTGTATGACTTGACAAGTCTGTCTATGATCAAATCTCCAAAGCTGCTAATCTTCAAGGCTGTCAGTGCTCCAAAGAACTACACAGTCCAGTTGCTATCTGAAATGTAACTGTTTAGTTGCCTTCACAGCAAACACAGACAGACTGCCACACAGATGGTGTTAACAGATTCAGGCCTCCTTTAAAGGGGAACTGCTATTTCCCTAGATTTTTTTTTAATATTCTGTTTTCTCATTCATTATATGTAACAAATACGTGCTTGTGAGGTCTGGAAAAAAAAATAGAAATTTACATCGTTCATATGTGGTATCGTGAACTGAACAGCTCCCAAATATTAGATGAAGAGAGCTACAAAAGACATATAGTAAATATGGTGTTAATTTCCCTTGGCAACTGTTCATTGGAGAGAATACACAATCATTTATTTTAATGGGCCATCTGAGAATAGATGCTTTCACAATGAAATGGTTCATCCTGAAACAGAAAAATACGGTTACGAACCATATACAGGAAGTGGAGTCCTGAATCAGCAGCACACTTCCTGTATGTAAAATGTAAAGAAAAAACATTGCTTTTTCATGCAGATCCATATCTACTTTAGAAGCAAAACAATTGAAGTAGAGGTTATTTCCCTTAAAATATGTCCAGAGTATTTTTTAGATATAAACTTCTACAAAGAGGTATTTACGTTTTGTATACACACTGCCTCCCTGAATTGTCTCTCCCTCGTCTTCTTGAGACAATGTATCTATGACACTGGGGTGGTAACAAGGCAGGATACATTTTAAATGTATATCCGTTAAGATAATGATTGAGGATGACATAATCTTTGAATTCTGAGTTAAAAGAAATGCCATCTATAAACACATTGGACCATAGAATGGAGCTATTGTATACATGCAACATACCGGTACATATTTAGACTTACTAAATTATAATGAAATAATATAAAACCGTATCTTTATTTCCTGCCTCATTGCGCTGGTTCCACAAGAAATAACATCCAAACTCCATGATATTATTATTCAGTAGTACATTCTGACCCTGTTTATTCACAACTACACTGTGCTGTGGCATGCAACACTGTTGGTTGGACATAACCATTAATATGCAAAACACTATATGGACTCCAGCTGTTTAAATGCCAAACATCTGGCTAAGATGTAAGAACAAATCTGCTTATTATTATAGCACAGGCTTTCACAACCAGGGTGCAAAACCAGAAGCCTGTCTTTTCTAATTTGTTGGGCTATACCCGTTTTTACATTCTGCAAGATGTGCTACTATCATTGCAAGTAATGATGGAATTCTGCTTCACATAAAATATAAAACAAAGAAGGGGTGATACAATCCAAGTTTAATTACAGAAAAGGACATTCTTAAAGGGACACTATAGTCACCCAGGCCACTTCATCTCATTAAAGTGATCTGGGTGCAGTGTCCTTTTAACCCCGCAATGTAAAATATTGCATTTTTTTTTTTTTTTAAACATGACAGACACTAGAGATGCTTCAACTGCACTTAGTGAGTAAAACTCGGTCATGCGAAATGGATGCCCCATAAGAAAGCATTGATTCAATGATTTCCTATGGGAAAGTTTGAATGCGAACGGCACCCACTATGCATTGCGTATTTTGACATCAGCGGAGGAGGATATGCCTCCTTTGAAACAGTGCTGTGGGGGTTTCAACGCTGGGACAAGGTATGTAAAATCATCATCATTTTTATTGCAATAAGGTGAGGGGGGGGGGGGGTAGAAAGCAGGGAGAACAGACAGGAACACATTTTAGAGTTAGAAAACAGATTTGTATTCCTAACGCTATAGTGTTATTTTAAATAAAAGTATGACAGGTTAAGTCAAAATATTTTTTATTTCCTTAGGAATACATTGGACTGAGAATTGTTAAAACATGTTGTTGTTGTATGTGCTGCAAATAGACGGATGTCCCTTTTTAACAAGGTAATATTTAATGAAAAGCCGCACTTGCAAAGCATTCACACCACCTATCACCATAGCTGATATTCCGACGGTTTAATCAACTCTCTTTTACTTATCCAGAGTACACGCACATTCTGCCAGCAAAATATTTGACTTGGATATCTATAGAGCTTCTTGTTGTAGCTGCAGATTATACTTATTATGCCTGCAGCGCTTGCAAATCACAGGACACAGCAGTTACAGTTTAACCTGTTTGTGTCAGGAATGCAACAAAGCTAAGCAATAATCCAAATATGAGTTGCCAAGGGATAGTTCAGTAGTTAGTGCTCCAACTACCATATGTCAAAAGATACAGGTTTGAAAACTATGAATGTCAGTTCAGTCTTCTAAAGTAAGCATTAATAAAATAGGTAACAACATCTTCTAGATGCCAACGAGTGCTTGGGAACCAGTGAAAGCTAAAGGCACATCTTCCTGGCTAAATCCTTTAAAAGTATGATTCATTTGTTTTATAATTCAATAAAACATTATACTAAATCTGTAATCATTTTAGATAGGCACGAATCTTGTAAAATCTAGAAGCATAATGCAGGTGAGGTCTGTGTGGGTGTGAGAGAATGCACGCATTAGTAGAAATTTGTACACAATGGACTGCACTATAAAATTTTCAAGGTTACCGCCTACACTCAATGAGTCTGACAAGTTAAGCAACACTCAGCTGAGAAAAACAACAAAAACATGCAGATATACCCCACAACAAGGTATATCTGACATTTGTCTGCAGCCTTTGCAAGCCTTTTCCTTTTTCCTGGAACAGACTTTCAGTCTGTGCCAAGGCAATGACCCATTGAAAAACCTCAGATTTTCAGCATAAGGCTTATAAATTTTGAGACCAGCCAGGGAGTCGGAAGGAAGGGCACAGCGCTAAAATGAGCCTTGTGAAATGCACGTGTGTTTAAATGCCGTTCAAGCTGTGGTCTGATTGATAGCTATGCAGTCATTTTTGCAGTGATTTATAACAGTTCTGGTTTCAAAAAGAAATGTAACATAGAATTTTGTTTTAAAGCTATCAATCCCTGTATCATTATTCATCGAAACAATCAGACTTCCCTAAGATTGTATATGCATTTAAGCAGGGCCCTTATCCCCTTCCAATATATTATTGGTGCACTAATAAACAATAGTAATAACAATGATAACCCATACATTTCACCTGTATGTTCATTCCAAATTGAAAGCTAAGGCAAAACTAGCTGATCTCAAAAAAATTCTCCAATACAGCCATAGTCAAAAATTCTCTGTTTTATCCTCAATTTTTCCATTCGGATTTAATTTGCAAAAAGTTTTGTGAATAATCCCAGCAGTAGACAAACGAGAGCCTGGCCATAAAACAAGGAGCAACACCTGGCAGAAAATAAGTAGCCAGACTACGCCTTCTGGTTTCACTGTCCATTAAATTCTGTATGTCTATGTTGTAACTGGTTTCTGTTCTGGTACAACAGCAGTTAAAACTATTTTAACAGCCTCATAGGCAACTCTGTCTGCTGGTAAGAGGTAAAGCAGCAATTAGTCAGCTGTGTGTGTATATAATAATCTCAGAGGTATGTCAGATTCAGCTAACCTGTCCTCAGGTCATGTATGATCAACAGCTGCAAGTGACACAGGAACATAAGCTAGGAATCAGTCAACATCTTCGTATTCAAGGTAAGGTGAGAAAACAGAATAATTACGTTTGATCCACCTTGGCTCTATCTGAGATCTTGTGCTCTCTCTTTAGGCATCACTTATAGCTGTCAGAACCTGGCCTCCAGATGAAGGAACTCACACATCTCACCTCTGCTAGGGTGATTTTCACACAGTAATAACAGCTATATTATTAGCATCTTCTACTGCCAGAGGGATCTATAATGCACAGTGTATGGCAGCCATTGTATGGGTCAGTAACCTAAATGCAGTTAGCCACCTGACTGCCTCTAATCCATTTACAGTGAACATCCCTTAAGTGAATACTAGATACAGACAATTAGACACAGTTCTTTATTAACAAGCCTCTCCACATTTCAAAGACCAAAGGGTGTGAATAGATTAGTTTCCCAGCAGAGCTGCTTAAAACAATACAATACATAAAATGAGCAAGCTTTTTAAAGTAGCTAATTGTTCTGTATATTAAAGGGACACTGTAAGCAATATAAGCACGACAGCTCATTGTAGTCCATTGTCCAATGACGCTTTCAAGCTGCATGACAAAAACTTGCCATCCAAAACCAGTCCCTCTGCAGCCGCAGGGAAAAACAGCACTCAGTGCTCACAACCAATCATTGTTGTCCCAAGGATGAACAGTATTGTGCAGCTAATGCAGACATTTATCTGCAACTTAACCAAAGTAGATAACCAGACACTGGGCTCTCAATTCTTTGGGAAAGCACTAGTTTTAATCAAACATCTCAAAAGAGACTTATAAGGCCATAATCACTACAGTGGGTAGTAGTAATTATTGTGTTTTTAGCAAAGATAGCACAAATATTATATAGTAGGGTAGCAGGTAAAAATGGATTTCAATTTTTAAAGAAACACTTTGAGTTCCATAACCACTACAACATGCTGTAGTGTGTATAGTGCCATGTGTGCCCTGGCACCATTGTAAGTAGTTTGTTCTAGAATGGCTTGACGTCTTACCCGTACCTGAGAACGAGAGAAATCTCAATATAGCCTTCCTGGTAAAATATTTTATAAATAAGTCCTAATCTCTGCAGTGCTGGGTTACCTCATGGCTGAGAGTGTCGGCTGATCACGCTCAGCCATGAGCTAAGCCCTGCACTGCCGGATACTAGCTCTCTAGCCGATGTAGATGAGGCGGAACATGACAGTCCCAAAGTAAAAAAGTCAACGTGTGCTGTAATGGTTATATTGTTTGGACTGTTCCTTTAACTGGAAATAATATTCTAGCAATAATCTCTATTTTGCATTTTTCTGTAACTGCCCACTCTCCCTTTCTACATATAATAAACAACCCATACATATATTTTACACAAAAAAAGAAACTTAACTAATCTCTTAAGGCAGAAACATAAAAATATAATTTGCTTAAAACTTAGCAAGGATAACAAATACTGTTTATTACCTAACTTACTCGGATAGATAGACATATAACCTTACGCAGGATAAATGAATGGTTATTTAGACCAGATGTCACTGTATAAATTGCATGCCCCTCTCTCAAGCTTAGATAAGCATAACTGAATATAACTACACCAAAATCATAACACTAAAACGATGATACTTGCTACGAACACCCATCTTAAGCCACTGAGTTCATTGTTGTTTTGTCCATCCTGTACCACATATCACTGAGACATTTATGTGTATCCTAATATTTTAACATAAAAAATGTGCAATGCCTAAAATGCCATATTGTTATCCTTATGTGTGTAAAGTTCGGTTTGCCCATGCTGTTGTGGCAAAGCAAACACACATGTTAATCATATGCACAAATAAAATAAAGAATTAAAAAAAAAAAAAAGATATATATATATATATATATATATAATTTGCTTGACATTCATTTACAAATATCAAGCAAACCAGTCAATAAACCTAAAATGCTGTCATATCATACATTTGCCATTCAACCAGTGTGTTGTGTTTTTGTTAAAACACTTTGCAAGACGCAAGTTAAATATTGCATTCAAAACAGCATACAATATAGATCAACAGATTAGTTACACATATACTTGCTCTGTCTCCCTACACACAGAAATCTATATTTCAGAAAAGAAATGGAAAAACAAAAAAAATCTATTTTGTGGCTTGGCATTTTATAAAAATTATATTTCATTATGCGTCACATGCAACACACCAAAAAAAAAAATGCAGAAAAGACTGTCTGAAAAGTAAGGGAAGGGTATAAGTTTGCGGAATGTGTTAATAATGTACATGTAGACCAAACAGACGTTAAGCGGATTGCATTTCACATGTATGAAGTCAGTGTTAAGAAAAATGTGATTACGCATTGGAAAATAAAAATGTGGAGAGAAAATGAAATATAAGAGCTATTTAAGAGGGATTGCATGTTAACAGTGGATGAATCACTGAAAGTAAGGATTATTTATGGCAGGTGGGGTGGATGCTACTTCCCCACCCCCACACATGAATGCCACATTGACAGAACAGCTGTGGAGAATAGAAAATGGCTGCTCTATCGCTGATCAGTAGACACTAAAATTCGGTGTGTGTGTCAGGACAGGAAAGTGTGTCATGCTTCGCTCTACATTAGTTGCAGGGTCACATGGAGACAGTTTCAAGGGTTTTTGTGGTAGCTAGTGTCTTATTCACAGTTACTGAAGCAAATAAATAGGTACATAGAACGAGAGGGATTTTTGTTCCAGAATACATAGTCTTCTAGAGGTTAAGCAACTGGTAGCTATCCAACAGTTGACTCACAAGAACCCACAGTCTGATAAGGATGATGTGAACTGTAGTTAAGCATCAGTAGTAGAGGATTAATATAATTATTTCAAATAAATAATACAGGTTATTTTCTAGAATGAACTTGTAAAAAAGCATGCAAATGTGACTTGCTTTGATATAATTTGTATCATAAGTGTATGACTGAGCCTTTAATATCGCTCTAATATAATTTAAACTTCACTCTGGCTCAGCCCTCTTAAAGGCATAATACAGCTGGTATGCTAGTTTAGATAAATGGGTAACATTATTAAATTTAAAAGTTTCCCAGCTTTGAATGGAATATTAATAGTTGTATCAATGTAAGTTCCCCCGATACAATGAGATGTGTTTTATTTTCAACAATTTCCCATTGTATCAATATTATTGCCTAATTAATATCACTGATTTAATTAACTTTAAAACAATGTACACCACTGCCAGGTACAAACCAATGGTGATCCTGATGTATAAACAGGTGGCAATTTTTTTCTCTTAATAAATAAATAGGGATTGACCGATTTATTGTTTTTTTTTAGTTTTTTTTTAGAGTCGATACCGATATTCTGTGAACTTTCAGGCCGATATTCTGTACATTTACCATTTTGGAAAATAAAAACTATTTCTAAAGTGGATGGATGCAGAGTGTTTAGACAGGGGAGCTGTGTGTGTTTGTGTAGTGTGTTTGTGTAGTGGATACAGTGTGTGTTTGTGTAGTGTGTGTATATAATGAAAGCAGAGTGTTTGTGTAGTGTGCATAAAGTGAATGCTGTATATACTAAATGCAAAGTGTGTGTGTGTGTGTGTATATATAATGAATGCAGAGTGTGTGTATTTGTGTAGTGTGTATAGTGAATGTAGTGTTTATATAATGCAGAGTGTGTGTGTGTGTGTGTGTGTATATAATGCAGTGTGTTTGTGTAATGTGCATTATATAAACACACTACACAAACACACTGCATTATATACACACAATATGCAAACACACTGCATTATATAAACACACTACATTATATACACAAACTACACAAACACACTGCATTATATACACAGTGTGTTTGTGTAGTGTGTGTGTGTGTGTGTGTGTGTATAGTGTGTGTGTATATGTGTATATAATGGAGTGTGTGTGTGTGAGGGGGCATTTTTTATTAAATTATTATTTTTTTATATTTATTTATTTTTGTTGTCCCCCCCCTCCCTGCTTGTTACCTGGCCAGGGAGGGGGGGTATAGCAGTCCCTGGTGGTCCAGTGGCATTGGCTGAGCTGTGGGGGGCCAGCAGCAAGCGTTTACTCACCTCCCAGCAGCTCCACCAGCTCCCCAGTGTAAGTCTCGCGGCCAGTGTGCCACGCGGAGCGTTGCCATGGTAACCTGTGGCAACGCTCTGACGGCCGCGGGTCTCGCGAGAGTTACACTGGGGAGCTGGAGGAGCTGCTGGGAGGTGAGTAAACACTTGCTGCCCGCCCCCCCAGGACCGCCGGGCTTGTAATGAGCCTGGCGGTCCTAGGAGGTATTATCGGCAATATCGGTATCTGAATTGGCCGATACCGGGAATTGCCAAAAATACCGAATATCGGCCGATTTATATCGGTAAAACCGATAATCGGTCGATCCCTATAAATAATACAGTATTTCTAATGAACACTTTTTTTCTTGATAAAACTTATTCTTTTAATACTTACATATTTACCAAAATTATAAAATAAAGCTTCAATAAGGAGTTCTCTCTAAACACTACACTTGATAAAATGGATATATAGTTTGAGATTATCCATTGCTTTTGCCATAAATATTTACAGAGTGATTTCTTTAAAAAAAATTTTTAAACTCAGAATGAATAGAGACTGTGACAAACGCTCCTTCCCATGTACTTTTGCCACGGACTCCTGGAGGAGTGTGGAAGCTTGCCTGCTGCCCACAGACTTTGGTTCAGGTCTGGGACACCGTTTGGGAGTTATCCTGCCCAGCCGCCATTAGTAGCTTGCCCTGAGTTCCCCTGGTTTAGCACTTGCCCTTCATGCGAAAGGAACCGAACGCTGGCTCTCTGGCGGCCATTCGCATGAACCAAACTCACAAATAGTCCTCAGTGGTACTTAGCCGTGACCGCTATGGAATTAATTTCATCATGAGGACTGTGTGGGTTCCTGGTCACTTCAATGGGACTTAGCCGCGAATGTTATGGAACTGTTTTCAGCATGAGGTGACTGTGCGGTTCCTGGACAACTTGTTACGCAGTTTTGATCCACTTTGATATCCGCCAGGAGAGCACTTTTTGGAGGGAAGGTGCCTGAGACTAAGGGGAAAAACCGCTACCTAAGAGCCAGGAGGAGCACCCCCTATTGCGGCCACAGGAGCTCCCGAGAGTTGACCGACAAAAGCACCAAATGCCCTGGACCTATTTTAGGCATTGGACCACGTGTGTGGCCGGTCAAAAATTTAACACGGTGGAGTTTGCCCTACACTTCATGGTTCTGAGCGCTATTTGGAAAACTTGTGCACCCCAATCAATGCTATTTAAAGATGGGTTATTTAATGTTTGTTTTGGGGTACTTTTTATGTTTTTATATTTTTGTGTTTTGCTCTCTGTTCCTGGGATATAATTAGCTTACCGATCTTTAACACAATTATCTCCCAGGCCCAGAGATTCCTGGGAGGGGCTTGTGCTGTATACAATGGAGACCCCCTGCTGGCTATCTGTCCCTGAACTATGTGTCATCTAGTTACTGGGAGGGGAAGGGCTATAATCACTGCTCAGCACCTTGTTCCAGTTCATGAAGGATTCGGCGGGGAAAGTCCTTGTAAGGACTAGAGCTCCCAGGACTGTGTGTTATCCAGTCCCTGGGAGGAAATAGAGCTAGTCCCCTATTCTGTTCCAGGATGGAGAGGCTCCAGGAGGACCCCAGTCAAGCCAAGGTGACTGGGGCAGAAGCGCTGGTACCAGCTAGGAAGCGGTACTAGGCGGAGGTATGCAGCCGGGGTACAGGGAATTCCGCTACAGAGAGTAAATGGAATTTGGAGAGATTCCAGAAAAATAACGTATTTTTATTTCTCTGAAGCTTCTTTGTCTAGCAAATATAATGACTCATTAAATAAATGAATCAAATTAAATAAAAATGTATCTAACCTTTCACCAGTTAGCAGATCTTACCTTGCTAAAAATGTACATTAATAAGCAAGAGATTAAAAACTTGATTTAGAATAAGTATTAATAATATAAAATACATATGACTGTTACAGAGAGATCAGATAAGCTGATTTTGCAGTTAACAGTGCTTGGTGCAGTAGGAGGGTGGATGAGTACACTCTGAACTCTAGCTGTGTAATGATAAACACAATGACATCACTGACCACAAGATGAAGCCAGACTATGTATTCATGTCTCTATAATACCATGTTTGAGTACCACTAGTCTAGCAACAGACAAAGTACAGACGCCCTCACAGCCAGCAGATGCATTTAATTACAGACTATGTCCATCCCCCCCCCAAAAAACAACAAAATGAGACCTTTCAAGAAGCATAATCTGAATATCATCTAAAAATGAAGTTATGCTGCAAACAAAAAAACAATATTCAAATATTTTGTGGAAATCTGTCCATCCATCATATAGTCATATCTACATACTGTTTTTACAATTGTATCATTATCTTCCATCATCCCTGTCCCTATCCAGTTTTAACTTAATTTAACGCCACATTTTTCTAGGACATAAAAATATCTGTTTATAAAAGCACAAATAAAATAAATAATCACTTCATATTTTCGATTTATCAGTTTGGTCCTGGGAAGTATGGGTAGCAAATTAAACATTTTTTTTAAACAATGTCTGAGTCAGCATCTTAACCTTTTTGTATGATCTGGCAGTAGCTTTAAGTTTACCACCAGCTCTATGTCCTGATGAAGTACATATACTAGCAGCTCCCTTCAAACCACAAACCTCAGACGGTTTCCACTTTCTAAGGAACAAAGCATTTTTGTAGGGTGAGGTAACAAGTTACTATTGCATCCTTCCACCACAACCTTGTGAAATGCGAGGCTCCACTTGTGATGAAGGGACCTCCTGGAAATGTGCAGGCTCAGCAAGAACAGGAACAAGTAGGGAAGTTTAATTTCTTCAGGGTTCGGACATACGTTTTACAGGTGCAAGATCTTTAAGATTTATTTCACTGACAGAATTTACATTTAACTCTGGTATGCCAAATGCATGGAATACTGTCATCCACAGACATAATAAATGTGTCGTGGAATCACTATCATAACAAGTCTAGTAATCAGGCTCAAATAGCCATACTGAAATCATAGCTGACGTGGGAATTTTTACATTTGGCTGTTTTGCCCTAATATTTTTAATTTAGTTTGAATATAGTTTTAATTAACCATTTTAGTGAAATAATTTATGTATCTCCTCAGGCCTTCATGGTCAATCTAAGGACACCCAGTAGGCAGTCTTAAAGACATCTTAATCAGTGACTTGAAGTGGTCATGGTGGCAGGAATATGTATGTGCAGTGCTTCTGCTTGAAACACTGCCCATACTGAGATATATGTTCTGGGCTGCCTAATGTCAATTCTGTGCATTCATTTCATCTGTTGGCAGTGCACACTGCACAATGATACCAGACGTAGAATCTTGCCTCTGCAGGTAGAAGCTAGCTCTCCCCTCCCACCTCGCTCTGTACTCATTGTTTGTTTTTGTTTTCAAATTCGCTCTCGCTTGGAGTGCGCGCTTGAGCTCTGAGTCAGCTAAATGGTCCAATTACAGGCTTCTGATGTCTGGAGGGGACCTGGAAGAGCAGAGCCAGAAGCTCAATGCAGGATTTCAGGTGACTAAAACTTTTTATTTATTTATTTTTTTATAGGTTTTACTGCGAAATTGAGCGGGTGGACCTTCCCTATAGTGCCTAGTAGGGCATATTATGCTGAAAATCAGTTATAGGGTCTCAAAAGGGTTATAGTAACCCTTTAATTTATTCCATACTATATTGATGGTGTGATGCAATAATAGTTTATATGCACCTTCCAAGCAAGAAGGTGCACAACATAGTTTAGGATTTCTTCATTTTATACAAAACAGCCCTGGTGTACGCTTTTAATTGTTCAAATACATGTGCTTACCTTACAGCAACAGCACCTCTTCATTGCACATACTTGAAATTCCTGATTCCTATGCAGATGGTGAGCTTTAAATGCCCTGACTGTTTTTTACAGACCTTTTCATTGTCCACATCATGCTCGTTGCTCAAGGGGTTAAATGGTTCCACAACATTTCCCTAGCCTGACTAAGAGATTACCAATAATTTGACAAATCTAAATATTACAAAGCCTGACAAGGTATACATTTGCTTTCAATTAAAGCCAAGATTCGTCAGCTCTTCTAAAAGATTTCCTCTTTTAACCCTTCCTTCAGCCTCCACAATTTAAAAGATAAGAGAAGACGATAGAGGAAATGAACATCCCTGCAGAGAAGGGACCTATATATTAGGAAACACATGCATTTCTACCACAATGCATAAAGAATATAAATAGATTTACACTGACGCTCAGTGCTTCAAATAACCTCTTTGATCCCAGGTTCAGACAAGCGTTCTTATTTCTTGCAAAATAGATTTGTTACATAGTCTACAATTGTTTTCTATAGATTTAAGAGCTTATTCACCAAACAATGACTTTTTATGTGTTGTCATCTGCCATCAGTTGGGTCACATTCATAGTGCAATAACCAAGATAGACATATTTCAACTTAATCAGCGATATTAGCCTAAATAATGTATGTAAACTCTATACTCTCCACAACACACTGTTTGTAAGCATACTATTTAGGGTAGTTAAAACCCAAAGCAGGTGTTTATTGACTACAGCAAGGATTTGTTTTCTCAGTTCAGTAGTGTTAAATCTACTCTAAATTTAAAAAAAAAGATTTTCTTGGTCTCTCTGGTACTCAATGAGGAAGATTTATTACATGGTCATAATCAAAATGGGGTACAAAGTTCTAAAAGTAAAGAAATTACATATCTAATGTACCTGTTGACTGTGCTGCTAACCACAATGATTACGCCACATTTCAGAACATGTCACTTTTATAAATGTGTTAACAAATGATGTATGTATGTGACTTGCTTTATTACATAAGCATTACTTAAAAGAAACAAAAAAACAAACAAACTGAAAACTCTGTAACCAACATGTTTTTAGTGAAAAGACAACTTTGAAGTTTTTCGCATGACAGCTATTGCAGCTCGTACAGGGCAAGTTGATTGCAAAGTCAGTGCAACTTGACCTTTTGTGGATATACAATGGGTTGACTAGCTATGTTGATAATACACCTAGTCTGAATAAAATACTATGTTTGAATAAAGTCAGACCCAATCACAAGGTAGCCCAATTGAACAGCAAAGAAGAATAACGCACATATGATATGATTTACAGACAAATTGATAGAGTATTTGCACTTTTCATTACCATCAAATTGTTGAAATACTAAAATTTAACAGTCTAGAAAAGTTATATTATCTTGTCATATGGAAGAAAAGCTAAATATCCAGGCACACCTGAGGTTTCTTCTAAAAGGCAGTCTTTTTATTTGGAACAAGAAAGTGGAGACAACGTTTTGGCTCCTGTCTGAGCCTTTATCAAGACTTGATTGTAACGGACCACCTGGCACCTCGACTGGGTGCCTCTGCCAATCGCTGCTTCCTAGTGCTTACCGAGTACCACAAGCACCGCACCAGACACCATCAGTACTATAGTCCCCACTTCCAGCGTTACAGCTTGGATGGGGTCTCGCTGTCCTCCACCCACCCTGGACCAAAGACCAGGATCCAGCTTCCAGTGGGTAGACCTCTCTTCCATAAAAGTGTAGCAATATGCTTTTAAAAGAGTAAGTGATTGTATTCCCAGGGGAGTATAGTGATATAGCAATCCCCAGAGTGATACAGCCGTTTCCCTCCCACACATGAGATGAGACTCTATGTTGAGGGTAAGCAGGAATTTGTTTATTGGCAGCCACAAATGGCCTTATATGCAGGTCCCCATGCAAGGGGCACTACCTTCTTGACCTGAGAGTAGACTACAGTAAAAACATACAGACTATTACATTGGCTCTCAGGTCCAGGAAACTCCCACATAAACAAGATAATCCCTCCTCTGTGCCTGAGAGATAATTGAGTCAGGCACTGTATTAAACTCAATTATCTCCAGGCACAGAAAACCGAAATTTTTACAAAACCCCAAAAATACATTTAAACACACAAAAGTTACATCCCCCGATAGCCCCGATCTGGGCGATCAACATATCCAAAAATCACCCAGATCAGTTCAGGGGTTCAGGAATTTCCTGGAAGTCACAATTTGACTGACCGCAAGAATGGTCCCATGCCCAAAACAGTTCCAGAGAATCAGGTTTACAGTCGGTCTAGTTCGGTAGTTTAAAAACTACCGAACATAGTCAATGTTTTTACCCTGGAGTTTGTTCACCTTGTTCGTGGGAACGTTTCCACCAAACAGTGTCCTTCTAAGTTGTGTACGTATGATCCTGATAGTCCAGCGGTGTTAGGGAGTTTCAGTGTGCGAAAACAGTTCCATGAACTTGACAACCAAACACCGCTGCCTGCGTTTGCGGGTACAAGATGGCAGCCACCTCGAGGCCGTTCATGCGAACTCAGCCACCCAGACGAACACTTAGAACATGCGGTGGAAAGTGTTACAAACTGCCAATTCGGCTTAACAAGCTCCCAGGTGGTCTCTGGTTCGTGCACCTGTTCGGTTCCCGAAAAAAGGGAGAAAATAGGGAAAGTTGCAACTTGAACAAACCACTAAACCAAAAAAGTAAATGATAAAATATTTGAAATCATTTTTCAAATATCTATTTGGTTTGGTAATGTATTACAGAGCCTTGGAAAAAGTGACTGTGTCACTGACTTAAAAAGTAATTAATCTAGTTGTAAAGACTTGATTGGGAGGGTTTTATGATATGTAGTCTTAGTATTAAAACTGTCAGTAACTGCAATTATAAACGGCTTTGTTTGCAAAGCAATTATGGGGTAATCCATTAGTTTATATTAAATTGCTGATGCAGCTGAATACAGTGTTTTTACAGCAATAAATATGCAGAGTTATGATGCAGACTAGTTTCATGTTATTTGTATGGTATGTTTTAATATATGAATATGATTTAATGTTTGCAATTATATAATAAGACTAAATAGTTATAGTAAGTCTAGCGTTTGGGTGTAGCCCGCAGATTTAATAAATTACATGTTTTAATGATTTATTTATTTTTTTTTACACTAACTTTATTTAACCAGTTAATGGTATTGAAATTGCATACTTATTTTTGCAGTATCTTCAGTATAGCAAATCTCAAAAAAAAAAAAAAAAAAAATAAGGTTAGGAAATAAAAATTACTTTATTTCACACATTTCTTCACTAAGGCCGATTGGACCTGGAACTAAAGTACTCTTGTTGGGCAGAAAGCCGTTAACGCAGCTGTGCTCCCTTTAATATTGCCATAAATTTTGAAGATAATGCATTTTAATAAGCACAGTCTCATATACACGAGTGCCTGTCCAGCATTGGATGACCTGCTCAGCAAAAATAATGTCAGGGTTAATCCAAAAAGTGTGAATTATTTGGAATTCAAAGCAGATTTACATTTTCAGGTTAGGCTAGCAGTTTGGCTACTGTGGCCTAAAATTTGACATTCAGTTTGAATTCCTGACATGTAACCACTTCAGTTTATAACCCTGTGGGTGTTTGGCGAGGTCACCATCATTCCTAGCCTTGATCCAATTAGCCGTTTGTACCCAAAGCATTATATACTAGAAATCTTTTTCAGCTGCTTTGAACGAATCAAATGCCTGTTAAACTATTAGCGAACAAATCGATTTTTGTTTGACAATAGATTAATATGCATTTGATTCATTCAACACAGTTAAAAAGTATTTGCGTACAATTCTATATATACTCAGAGATTAACAAAGCACAGTATAACGTTTTCCAGGAAGTTCTCTTCAACCAGAGATTCCACACAATCCTTAGCTAGATAATAGAAGGGTGAAGGATGGTGTGCAAGACTTGATTTCCAAATGTGGAAATGTTCACTCAAACACTTTAAATATTTTGTCACATTACTGCCAAAGGAACACACTAAACACCATAACCAGTACAGCAAGATGTAGTGGTTTTGGTACCAGGAGTACACTGGCACCTGAAAATTAATGTCTGTGCAAGGCTTAGCTTACCAGCTGAGCGCAAACAGCTGATGCTCTCAGCCAATGAGTCGGCCCTACACTGCAGGTTTTCACTCCTAAGAGGAGCTTCCAGCTCCCAGCAGCAAAAGAAAGAGGCAGAGAGTAGCACTCTGCGGATCCCACGTAAGGTGTCAAACCATTAACTGATGGTTTGACTACTTACATGGAGTGGCATGGTTGCCAGGGTATTCCTGGAACTATAACTGCAGTGGTTATGGTGATTGATGTGTTCTATTTAATATTATTGCGGTGCTTAAAAAATATTTTTTTTATAATACACACAAATCACAAGCATATAATTTTCTTATATTTCTAGCATGAAGTACTGTATATATTTTCAAAACCATTTTTAAACTGCAATATAGACATGCAAAACAAAATATATTAAGCTCTTAATTAGTAGAAACAAAGAAATGTAGTGTGTGTTTGTGTGTGTGTGTGCCAGACATTTAGGTGAATGTCAAATCATTTTTTCTTCTGCCAAAATTAGATTGTAAGCATCACAGGATTAGGGCAGCAACAACCTAAGCTTGTAGCAGTACCACTTATAACAGAAATATTATTATGTGAGACAGAACTGGGAGTCTGGGATTTCCTGAGGTAATTGTCATTGCGGCAATTATAATTCCCTTCCACCTGCTGTCTTGTGTTATTTTAGGAAGTCCTTGTCTGCAGACTTATAGCTATCATTCCTCAGTCCACAGCAAACAGGATACACCTGTACACTTCATTCACTCTATGCAGTCAGCGCAGTCTGGCGATAACCTGACCAATGTTTTTAGCCATTATGACACTCAACATTTTCTCCACTGACGTCTTGGCTATATTGAAATGTATTACAAGACACTAAATGGAGCTAAGCCATAAACTACACCAACAAAAACACATGGAACAGATCTAGGTTTGGACGCCATGAGCTGTATGGTACATAGAACACCCCTTTTTTAATATAGTGCAGACCGTGTCTTTCAGAAAACTGTACAGTGTTTTCAGAAATGAACAACAGATGTAACCTAATGTACTGCCTTATTCTGTCAGCATGAATGGAACACACCTTGTTTGCAGAACAAAAGTTATTACAGATAAACAGCAGCAAGTACAGTCCTGTATTGTGCCATGCTTGTAAAAACATAAGAATGTACTAGATTTGTGCTGGTCAATTTATGAAGAGAGAAACTGTTTGTTGTAATGTCAGATTCTGACGCGTGTTGGTTATAAAATAGTTCATGATATTCCACAATGTGTTTACATTAAGGCACAGTTTATTGGAGCAAATAAAATTAGGTTTATTCAAAACACCTAATTAAAGGGACACTATAGGCACCAGAGCAACTTTAGCTTAATGAAGCAGTTTTAGTGTATAGATCATGCTCAGTGAGCAGAGAGACTACAGGGGCATGATCTATACACCAAACCAGCTTAATTAAGCTAGAGTTGGTTTGGTGCCAATAATGTCCCTTTAAAAGGAATTGAGAAAAAAAAAAAAACCCTGAAAAAGTATAGACTAAAATAGCCATCATTTGAGCAGAGCCCAGATGGAAGGAGTCAAACTGTGTTCGCCATGTGCCCTTTCCCACTTGCACTACAGCTACAGGAGCTGAAAGTTCACTTGGTTGAAAAGGTATGCTGTGGATTTTAAAGGCATATGGATTGACACAGGAGTGGCTGGGACACGTGTAGGTAAAGACAAAGATGGTACTGGTATTTGCAATAACTAAAAAGGTAGTGAGTGCTGGAGGAAAAAAATTATGAGGGTATGTTTGCTGTTTTGGATGTTTAAAAAAAAAAGGTATTGGGCATAAGAAGCACTTTCTGTAGAAATGGCTTCAGGGAAGTGAGGTTTTAGTTGGGCAGCATTTTGTCCTTGAACCTAAGCAGCATTTAGTTTTTTCACACCTCACAGCAATTATTTGCTAAATAGAGGGTATAATCAGGGGTGGGTAACCTTTGGCCCTCCAGATGTTTTGGACTACATCTCCCTTGATACTTTGCAAGCATTATGGCTGTAAGAGCATTATGGGAAATGTAGTCCAACACATCTGGAGGGCCGAAGGTTCCCCATCCTGGTATAAATAAGCATGATATTGAAGCAACTGGAAAGTAACTGTTCCCTCCCCCTTTAATATATATACAATGTATACATCTGTGATGCAAAAAAGGCCAATAATATTAATAAGTGGAATGCCCTATACAAAAAGAAAGGTGATAAATAGTGAAAATAAACAATCAGAATTTATCATTCAAGCCACAGAAACTTCAGAAAAATCAGCGCAACACTGATAAATCTCCCCAAATAGTCTATTTTCCTCTGTCGGCTAGTATTATTTTTACCCTGCCCTGACTGTTGAACTTCAGTGATTTATTCCCAGGCCTATCTCTGCTGATTCCCTTATATGAAAGATCCACGGTTACAAGCATAACAATAATGTAATGCTCCAGACATACATCAATGCCTTAGTTTTACTACAGTGTAATGTTACAGACAGCAAACAAAGAATATCTGCCCTTGGGTCACCTCTGGTTTAGTTTAGCTGCCTAATTTTGGTGAACAACGCAATAAATACTGCCAGCTGTTTAAAGACTTCAGCCCCTGACATTTCTCTGCTGCAGCTCCTAGCAGGGCCTCTGTATTAGAAGACAAAAAAATAACTTGCTGTTGCTTTTATCGCAGCCGGGGGAAATAAACGTAATATATAATCAATGTACGGATTGAGCACATGGTTGTAAACTTTATTTAGCCATAAATTCCTTTGCAATTCAGCTAAAACAATCAGTTCAGTGGTATTTTTAGTTTAGGTTTAATAAGTCTGATAAGTATGATTTTATCTGAAAATGTATAAATGTAAAGGCTTGGCCTGCAGTTGTGGGAGGGGCATGTTACACTACTTAAACCCCCTACTCACCTTCCTCCGTCCCGTACATAGTTTAGCGATTTGCATGTCTTTATTCCCTTGGGACCAGCCAATACAGTCACCACAATAACATTGTTGTGAAACCTCAATAAAATCACAAACAGTCAAACCATATCAAGCAACACACAGTGACTTATCACAACACAATGGTACATTTTTAAAGGGGTGGGGGAAGACAATATTTAACAGTAAATATCTCACCTGCCTGCAGAATTAGCAATATGCAAATCTACCCGAATATGCAAATGAACCAGTCTTGCAATTCAGGTAGTGCATATTGCTGTTGCTACCAACAGAGGGCACTAGACAAGCTCCATAGCCAAACCCACCTAGTTGGTAGCAAACCTCAGCAATACAAGACAGCAGGCAATACATTACACAGTACACACACACACACTATAAACAATTACATTACACACACCCTGCACCTATAATGGGTACAGGGTGACTAAAACATAAGATAAATAAAGCAGCCTACATAAATAGTCTGTCTGAAGGTAGACTAGGGGCTTTAAAGCCAGATACATGAGAGAGTCATAGTCACAGGGGAGGAGGCTGGCAAGTAGGCCTCTCCAGGACCAAGTGGCGAAGGGCACTTTGTCACACAGGCCTACCTCGACATCGGTTCCGGCACATCACAACCGACTTATTTCCTATACGGCCTTATTTGCCCCTCACACAACTACATATTTTCCTGCTACCTGCCTATATAATAGTGCTGCTAGTGCACAGTTTTTGGTATTTTTTTATAAAACATTATTGTTCAATCTCTTCCCTGACTTCTAAAATATCAGACTTTTGAATTGAGTTCCATTCTTGACGGGTAGAGCCAATAGGTACCTGCAAGCCTATCTTCTAAATTATATTAACTCCTTTAACAACCCAGAATTCAGGACACGTGGGGTGGGGAGGAGACCATGGCTAGCTCCTAGAGAACCTATGAGTCTTGCATTGCACAGGAAGAGGAAAGGATGTATTTATGTAGTCCCTATCTCACTGCCAAGATGGAGATGAAGAGATGGAGGCAAGAGTGGGAAAGCTAAACATGGGATTCTTAAAAGTTGTTTTCCTTGAAGAAACATATTATTGCCATCTAGCTCTTTCAGTGTACACAAATATACACACATATAGACAGGGAGATATATTTTTGGCACATAGTATTACAAATTAGCGTACTGTAAAGTTGTACAGCGCTACAGAATTTGCTGGTACTAAATACATAATATAATAATAATAATAATAATAATAACCTCAACAAGAGTCATTGTTCAAGACTTTCTTTAATCACTGCACTGGACATAGGTTGTCATGAAGCAAAACGGTAAAATGACCTGGCATAGAAGAAATTATCCCTAGCTAATGCCAAATGTAGCATTACCCTTAGTTAAATATATAACTTTTTTAACTGAAAAACTAACCTGCACAATAAGCTTTACTTAAAGAATTATTTTACAACAAAGGTGTAGGCTCCATCCCTGAATGCCTGCAACGAGAAGATAGTTTTCCTCTCCCACCCAATAGGCGCTCTATTCCATCTCTCTCTGCTAATTGTATTTTTAAAAATACATTACAATCTCTCTGTACTGGCTCAGATTGTGTGTGTGTGCGCGCTCTGAGTCATTGAAATGCTGCAATCACAGGCTTCTCTATTAGCAGCCGGAGATTGGACAACATGAGTCCCATGTGATGTCAGAGGGAGGCTTGGAAGTCAGCGTCGGGAGCTTACATATGGTGCTAGATTCCAGGTATCTAAAAACTTTCTTTTTGCAGGTTATTCTCCAAACAGGGCGGGAGAAGAGACACACCTATATCATATTGACGAATAGGGCACATTATACCACAAAGCTTTAACATCCCAGCTATTATCCCTTGATAACCATCTACGACCATGTGTGTTTTTCAAGCTATACTCTTTCGGTGGAGGTGTATTGTTAAATTAACCCCCTATAGTGAATATTCTGCCAGAGGATGTATCACAGGTGGGAGCGAAAGGATTTTTCATTTCAATTTAATTAATGCACCTTAAACCTCAGCAAACACGACAAATTGATATACACACAGCAAATCTACTTTTATATATGTTGAGGAACCCTGCCTGCCATCATCAACTTTAACTAAAGGATCACTATAGTGTCAGGAAAACAAACTCGTTTTTCTGACACTATAGCATCCTTAGGACCCCCCCACACTCAGGGTCCCCCTCCCGTGGTTAAAACCCCTTCAGTTACTTACATTAATCCAGCACCAGGCTCCCTCGGCGCTGATGACCTCCCCTTCCCCGCCGACGTCAGCTCCCGAGTGGAGCGGAATACACAAGTGCGGCGCATTCAAACAGTCCTTAGGAAAGCATTTCTCAATGCTTTCTTATGGACGTTCTGCACGCAGATGCGAACTTCACATCCGGCATCCCAGAAGCGGCTGTCAGAAAGACAGCCACTAGAGGTTGGATTAACCCTGCAATGTAAACATAGCAGTTTCTCTGAAGGGTTAAAACCTGGAGGACCTGGCACCCAGACCACTTTATTGAGCTGAAGTGGTCTGGGTGACTATAGTGTCCCTTTAACATTCTCAATTTAAAAATCACCCTCAAAACCTCTAGAAAAAAACATGCCTCACTCTCGAATTCACCTCAGAAACAGCCATCTAAATCTTCTACAACATATTATAAAATACAATAATATTCTCCGGGATCATTAGAGCTACATAAAAGCGTTTTCAAATGCACTCTTTCTGTAACGAGTAAAATTCTGGAGAAGGTGTTATATGAGTTTTTTTGGTCTTTTGTTAGAGGAATGCAGCTTGTAAAAGAATTTTCAAGAAAACGGATTTCGAATGCTGACAGGGAGGAATGTATGTCCATAACATTAAAGCTAAAAATAATTTTTGGTATAGGTTATTCTTCACATGGGAGACCTTGTGCTGAGCTCAGCTCTACGGGGAACCACAGTACCTCTGCCAAATCAGCTGTCTCCAGATAAGATGTGGTAGGCTGGAGTGAATTCACAGGCCATTAGTCAAAATTAGTAAGTTGCAAATAAGTCATACACAAAGGAATCTTTACTGGGGGAAAAAAAGACAAAATCGAAAGCAAGCTGCACAAAAAAACAGTTATTGCTGAATTAAATCTGCAATTTCCATATGTATACAGTGTTACAGATAGCCACTAGAACATTGAAAATGGAGATAATTCTTAAGGTACAATCACATTTTTCGAATTATATTAATGTAGTGTACATTGTGTTTCTTCTTGCTTAATTTATCTCTAGCAATGATATCTAACTGAAACTGGTGGGTTCTTACTACGGCTGACTTTTCGCCATCGGAAACAGTCCAGTGAGGTCTGCTAGTACATACCTAGTGATTATTATCTCACGTTACATATGTCCCCAACTAAAACAAAGTGCAGCAAAAGAGTTTCTTTTAAAAAAAAAAAAAAATTTTTAAACACTATTTGTCTTAGCATACAATATAAGTCCATTGCAACAGTTCTCAACATAGTCTACAAATACCCACTATGATTCAGTTTTTTTTTAAATTTTCCCTTTGGAAGAGCATTGGGTAATTACTAAATCCTAGACTATTGTAAGTCCTTGTAAACTGAATAAGAGAACACTAATCTATGGAGAAAATTCAGATTGAATTCTCCACAATCAGACTCATGGCATGACGCATCTCTCTGTGAGATATGTTTTACTCTCACTATGAGCAGCCAAATGTAAGTCAAATGATTTACAAGAGTTGTAATGTGCCAAGAAGAAATAAGGAAGGGAAAAAATATATCACTTAACACAGGGCTTGACAAACTTGTTTGGAATCTAGGAGCCAGCTAAAAAAGTTAGGAGCCAGATTTTTTTTGTTTAATTTACAAGAAATATACAATTCTTAAAGGTACACTATAGTCACCAGAACCACTGCAGCTTAATTTAGTTGTTCTGGTGCCTGTAGCCTGTCTCTGTAGCCTTGTAAATGTAAACCCTGCCTTTTCATAGAAAAGGCAGGATTTACATTGCTGCCTAGTAACACCTCTAGTGACAGTCACTCAGACGCCACTAGAGAGTCCTGCATAGAGGTGCTCTGCATGGAGGTGCTGAAAGTTACATATAGAAAACAGGCGCAATATCCTCCCAATGCTTTTCTATAGGAAAGCATTGGTTAAAGATTGATTATCTCACCCATGAAGGCAGGGCAAGCCGTGTGAAACTGGCATGGCGTGGGAAAGAAGGTGAGTAAAAAACACCTCTCTCGTGATTGGAGGGGTGCAAGTACCTAAACAGACACAAGAAGATACACTCTGACACTGACAGACCCACACACACACAGACGGAGAGACACACACACACACACACATACTGACGGAGAGAGACGTGCGCAAACACTGATGGAGAGACACACACACACATACTGACGGAGAGAGACGTGCAGAGACACACGCACATACTGACAGAGAGAGACACGCATACACACTGACAGAGAGAGACACACACACACACACACATACTGACAGAGAGACACGCATACACACTGACAGAGAGAGAGAGAGAGAGAGAGAGAGAGAGAGAGAGAGAGACACAGACAAACACACACACATTTTCTTTTTTAATTTGAATCCACACAGCCTCCCTACCTTTGGGAGAGATGAGTGGACTTTCCCTGGGGTCTAGTGGGGCTGCTCGCTCATCCTGCGTATGAAGGAGCAGGGATCTTCAAGCGGCTCCTCTCTGCTCTCTGTAGTGATGCCAGGAGCTAGAATTACGTCATAGTCTGGCTCCCAACATCATTAAACAGTGCGAGGGAGCAGAGGGGAGCCACTTGAAGATCACTGCTCCCTCACACACTGCCTTAGCCGACCACAGCGATGCTCCCCAGGGTGGCCGCCTCCACGATCCCCAGGGTGGCCGCCTGCACACTCCTCCGGCATGCTCCCTGAGCCAGTCGTCCAGCTCCTCAGAGAGACCAGCCAGCTCCGTTGTTCCCCCATCCTGCCTTTAGCTAAAGGGCTTTAAATCCCAGGCGCTATGGCAAAATTTCTAGTTGCAATGGCGACCTGGTGCCTGGGATTTGTCAAGCCCTGACTTAACAAGAATTATCAAGACTGATAACGGAAAAGAAGTAAATACTTTACAAGGTTGAACCTCATATGGTAAAGCATGCCACCACTAATCCTAGAGGCTGATTTAGAACCACAAACCATCATTGATTATCTATGTTGCCCTTGTGTTGGATTCCTAATATGAAATCTAACAGTTTCATAAAATAAAAAATTCCAAGACTCCTAAGTGATACACCTAGGTTTTTGCACAAAGTCATTGATCTTTCCACGTTGGTATAAAATATTTAGATGTTTGCAAACCCTACAACAATGGCTTGGTACACAACCACAGTATAAAGTGTCACCATAGAGACTAAGCACACTTGTCTCCAAGCAAAGCATGTATTTCTTATTTGCCATAAAGTCCAGAGTGGGGCAAGACATCAATGAACTCAGATAATCTCCACGAGGTAGATCCTTTAAAGTACTTGGTTTAATAGTGCAATGTGCAACATGGTACAAAAAGTATCGAAACTGACTCACATTTGACAAAGAATCCAGATAAAAGGATGCTAAGAGCGCATGCGAACCCAAGGGGAGGGAGGTGGGCGGTAGGGAGAATTTCTCCCAGATTTTGAAAGGAGGGAGGAAAAGGACAGCTTTTCCACTTGCAAGCAGAGCTGACAACACTCCTAAAATACTCATAGAATTGACAATAGGCAGCCCAGAACAGAGTGGGGTGCAACTAACTCCCAGCACATAATTAAAAATAACTCTAGATGTGCAGTGTTGCAAGCCTCACATAGAGACTCCTACCACCATGACCACTTCAACTCACTGAAGTAACCTTAAACACCATGATATGCTTAAAATGAAATGGCCCTTCCTGATGCCTCTCTGAAATGTGTGCAATATAAAAAAGAATTGTGAGATAGACCGCTACACAATTTTGCCTGAAGCCTTTAATATCTACTTACATTTGTAAAGTTTGTGGTTTGGCCATGTTTTTTTTTTTTTTTGACGTGACTACCATCTGCATGTTGTTGGACAAGACATGAAAAGTGCTGTCTAGAGTATGTAAAATTTAACCATTCCAGTGGGAAATCAGCAAATTACTCACTCAATCAATCAATAAGGGTATTACCACTATGATTGAATACATAAAGAGGAAGAAGCACTTTTGTGTTTTTTTTTTTTTTTTTTCCTTCTGTTTATCATACAACTGTTTTTGCACTAACATCGAACGCACTCTTGTTCTGGAATTGCCTGGCATCTGATGCAAATGTACAAATTCCTATGAGTCTCTGTGTGTTGACCATGTATATGCACACAATGGGAATCCAAGGAAAAGGCACCTACATAGGTTTTTGAAAAGACAGATGTGCCAGTCATACAGAACTGATGTTATGTTTACTTCTAAGTACCTTGTGCGCCCATCTGCTTCTATTCTTTTATTCAGCAGCATTTACTGGAGTGAGGTTAAATAACCGCTACCAAAAAAAGACGACCGTTCATTTTTAATTGAATGGTTTAGCTTTGATAGTATATTAATTCAATCAGATCCTGACAGCACTTTTCAAGTACAAGATACTTGTGTAAGAAAATGATCAATCTAGATACCTTATACACTCATGATAGTAAATAGGAAGTTCTTTCGAAAAGCTGTAAACCATAAAGGCTTCTCCAAGAAGTGAAACTAGAGCTCTGCGTAGTCAGATAAGAAGACTGGGCAGATAAAGGAGATAACGGCACACTAACTCTATAAACAGAGGGCTTTGTGGGAATAGGGCATAAGACCATAGTGGTCAAAATTCCAATACTAATATTTAAACTTTAAAATATTTATTCTTTTATAATAAATATTAAAGTTTTTAACCAGGAAAGGTACCTGTAGCTTATAAAACACAGATTTTCACTATTTTGTAAACTTACCCTATGTGTATATTGCTGGTAAAGGAGATGAATAAACTGTAGGAATTTAAGACTGCTTGTTATAAATTGATCACTATTACGAATAACAAAACGGATAAATTTAGAGCACCTGGGCGTTTACAGCAGGTAGGGAAAGGGTTGTATGCTACAATTATAAACCCATAAACTAGAAAACGATACTCAATAGAATTAAAAAAAATGCACTATAATAAGATGAGGTTCTCACCCAAATCAATTGTTTCAGTGACAGCTTTTTTGCAAGGTAAGCAGATTTGTCATGATCTGTTTAGTAGTTCAGATACACTTTTTTTGGTTTTAGAATGAAAAGTCAAAATACTGGCATCAAAGCATGATTTTTTAATTTATTTTTTATATTCTACTTGTATATTGCAGACCTAGATGACAAAGACACACATGTACAACTAAAAGCTACAGAAAAATCTCTGAATGAGTGTTATAAACCCCCTGGACAAAGGGTAACTGTTGGGAAGATCCATCTGTACATTCTAACTGCAGCTCATCACAGTCATTGACAACCTTATGACATGGAAGTCTAAGAACTACATATGTGCAATATGTAAGTGCTGAATCCAGCACAAGGCACTACCGCACAAACACAGTTTTGACTGAAAAGGAAATGGGATGGGGGAGATAACAACAACCACGGGGTCTTCCTCTAGCAAGGATATTGTCAGCTATAAATGACTTCCTCACTGTGCACTAATCAGTATTATCACACTGCAAAAAAACAAGCCTATAAAGAAAAAGTCATCAGGCTAGATTTAGAGGTCAAGTCAGCTGACCTAGTTATACACAGATCGTTTCTTTGCATGACACTCAGGAGGAAGTGCATTGTTACTTATTCATTTATTTTTCATTTCCATATCATCTGAAACACAAAACAGGGACGTGACAAAATACTGACATCCACAAAAAACAGAATGCACCCAAATATTACTACAATAACTTAATTACTAAAACCCCTTAGACAATGTTGTGCAGAATGAGATTGCCAACATAAAAGTCAAATCTTCACCTATCAAATCAAAAGGTTTTTATTTAACTTGACATAAGTTGCACAGGTTTAAAAAAAACAGTGCCATATTTCTGCTTAGATCTTTCTTCTAGGTGCTAAAGGTATACTATCTGATCAATGTATTGTTTTTTATTATGCATCCAATATTTAACATGTTATGAGAATGTAGAATAGCAGCCAACACATTGATAAAAGAGTGCTTGTCTCCACCCTCATTTGTCCCCAACTACAATTTGCTTTTCACTATATTGTTACAAGTATTTTTTGACTTTAGGACAAGTGTATGGATATTAAAGAACACTATAGGCACCCAGGCCACTTCAGCTCATTTAAGTGGTTTGGGTGCCTACCAGACAGCCACTAGAGGCGCTTCTGATGTGAAGGTGACTTTTAATTGCCTACTGACGCTGGGCATACTGACGCTATGCATGAGAACATTCAGTGTCACCCAAAACCCCGTAGGAAAACCTTTAATCAATTTAACTTTTCCTATGGGGTTGTCCTAATGTGAGCACATTAGGTCACTGATGTCAGCCGACGTCGGGGGAGAATGAACGAAGGTAGAGCCTGACCCAGCACCGACGAACATTAGTGCTGGATTCAGGTAAGTGACAAAAGGGGGTGAAGGGGGCACTATAGGCTAGGAATACAATGTTTCCCTTTAAATAAGTAAGTGTAATGTGTGGTAAAAGAACTATCCTGGGCCTATCTGACATTGTTGGTAGCTATATAAAATTATGCTGGGGGTCTTTTTATTTTCTTTATAATCGCAGACTTACAAAATAATTCTGTTGAACACACAATATGAATGTATTTCCTAATCTGAGACTGTAGATTTGCTGAGCTAGGTGGATATTTGTTTTGTTATACACCGCATTTCGTCTGTATTTGTGCGGATTGGGTGATCGTATGAATTCCTGAACTCCAGATCAAACTGTAGCTGAATCACAAATCAAACGATATGCTCAATGGACGAGCATGTTCCTTTGATTAGTGATTCTTTGGAGCCCAAAAACATTGATGACATTTGGTTTGTTTTTCCTAAAACCCATATTAAGAAAATTCAGACTAGCCATCCAAAAATCTGCTGCCCCTAAAAATCTTTTCTTTTCTGTCGAAGTGCACAACTTTAGTGTTTATACAGAGAGAGAGAGAGACATGTGTCCTACATAACTGAGATTGGCCAGCACTCTGTAATACAGATGTTTTAAATAAGAATTCATGTCTAACCCATCCTCCCACCAGAGTGTGCAGTGGATGCATTTTCAGTGTTGCATGTAGATAAATTGTATAGACATTGCCACACACGCTTCCTGCTCTAATCAATTTCCTGTCTTACCATCTATGCACACCAGGCTATACTGAGAAGAGGAAGCTAAATAAGCACTGAGGTGACAGAGACCTTTTAATGGTTATATGTGCATAGGTAGAAATGGTGAGCCTTGATCTATGGGATTTATTATGTGCATGCAATAAAGGAATATACGAGGTGTTTTTAGTTTAGGGCTTAGTATAGTAATCACTTACTTAGCGGTTGGTGAATAACCCCTATGATGGTTTATGAGCTGTTTTTATTCTTTACTTATCTCTGAACAAAGGATATTTCTAGCTTTGTAGGTACAGATAAAGTTCATGTAATCCTCACTAGCTGGTCACGTACAGTGGATGCCATAATGTGATGTCATACCAATGAAAAGCTTTCTGTAATAGTGATGCAAACATTAAAAAATGAACAGGAAATTGGTCTGTTCTATTGAACACAGATGGTTTTCTCTCTGGAAGTTCCATTTTGTCTAACTCTCCACCCGTAGTAAAGACAAGCAACAATGAAAAGATGGTGAAATGGGTGACCCCTGAAATATTTCCATACATCACACCAAATATGTCTACTCTGAATTTTTTTTATTTTTTTTCATTACATGCATTGTTTTCAAGTAATATGCGTTTTACTCCCATTATCCTGTACAGCAAGCATGACAAACTCGCGGCCCACAATTAATATATTTGCGGCCCAGCAAGCCATGAGTTTGACATGCTTACTGTACAGTATATTTTTTACCCCCTGTAAAGTAATGCCATTCATTTATCACTAGTTCATGTTCCAGTCCATCAAACAGCCCTCTCTGTGGTGTCCTTGATGGATGGAGAGTGTATCAATGCGCAGATAATTGAGGGCATCAAAGCCCCTCTGTGGTGTTACTCAATGACTTCTTAAACAAGGTTGGCAGATGGGCTGAAATATGAAATGGTAGCAAATGTGTGACATATTAACAATATGCGACAAAACTTCAATATATGTAGTACGGCCTTTAAAAAAAAAAAAAAAAAAGATACTAACTGATCCACATGCATGAAATATGAAACATGAGGACGTTGGAATGGGTAGCAGAAAAATCTGTTGGGCCATTATAAGAGATAATAAATGAAAAGGACTGTTTGATAAGATTGGAGCTCCACTGTAATGGCAGCAGCATATTTCATAATGACTACATGACAAAAAGTGTATTTTTATAGAGTGCCTGTTTGGGCCTATTTAAAAGCATGGGCCTGGAGCCGCGTTAGTCTAGCATTGGGTATACGTCCTGATACAATAGGATACATTTTAGAGGAGGTAAGTAATAAAGAGGTTGTATAGACATGGAGATATAATATCCTAATACATTGAAAACCCAAGTGAATGCAGCCCCATTCTGGTTTTAAAGGCAGTCTTTCTAGGGCAATACATATCTACGTTCTATATGTACTTATACATATTTGATCTTGTCTATAAGTTTTTATTTTAAAGATTAGCTAATATTTAGGCAAAACTGCCTCCTAAATGCAAACCGGTGGATAGACTAACTCACCTCACCTCACCTCTTTAGATAACAGTTTGACACCAATTTAAAGTATTCTAATCAATGCACTTAATGAGTAAGGAGATAAGCGTTATAGGAATTGTACACTCATTGTGTGAGCATTCTACATAGCACTTTCAGACAATCGATTCTGTCCAGTTTGAAGGAAACTTACATTGATATGTAGATGTGTTAATTCTATATAATCAATGCAGCTTACGAGGGAGCAGTCTCCATTTGGTCTGGTGAGATCTTTGTTTGCTTATATAACTCCTATATGGTTTGACAAAAAACTGAAAGGTGGCTTTCACAGACTCTAGGCAACATAACCACTACCCCGAGCTGTTGTTTGGAGTACCCCTTTAACCCCTTAAGGACACATGACATGTCATGATTCCCTTTTATTCCGGAAGTTTGGTCCTTAAGGGGTTAAAATTTATTTTTTAAAAATCTTTTCTTTTAAAAATGCATTTTAAACGCAAAGCTTAGTTGGGGAAAATAATGTCATGTCCGACGAATTTATGGGTATATTAAAGTAAAATGTATTTCTTGACTATACAAAGTCTGCTTATGACAGAAATGGTGGAGAAATGATTCACGGCAAAGGCAAGATGGATGTTTGGTAATTGTAGGGAATGAAATAAGTGACATAGACTTAGACTTATACTTGTCAGTAATACCAGTAAAGTTATAAAAATAAATAATTAAAAAGTGTGTTTTGGCAGCTTTCAGTTATTACATGTGTAGTGCATTCCCTTTAAGATGGGCAGAGCTCCCCCTGTAGATATCTTTTTAAAATTTCACATTCAAATTATACTCACAAATGCTAATTAACCTCCTCTTTGCACCTGAAATTGGCAGCCATTCTACAAAGAAAGGATTACTGGTCACGCTCAAATCTATATAACAGATCTAATGCTCCACATGTATTCAGTAAAGTGCAACAGTAAACATAGGCTATGGCAGTAGGACAGCTCTATTTCTGTTTCCCAGATTCTGGCAATGTTCCCGTATTAAAAAAAAAATAACTTAATATTTATTCTCATGAAGTCTACCGTCAAAAATAAGAAGCGTCTACTGACTGATTCTTCCATTATTTCTGTACAATATTTCTTGGAGTCTTACAACATGCATGCGTACGTCACATATACATCAATGGGTGATGACTTTTATTTCTCTTTAAAAAAAAAAAAAAACATATTGGAGGAGAGTTGTCACGATCTGAAAGTGGTGCAAGATTGTAAATAAGGAGTCGTTACCAATTAAATGTACCTGAAGATTTCACTGGTTTCCGTGACTACTTTAAAACATTTAGAACTTTTCACCGCTTTTTAAGATCAGTTTTTTTTTTTTTTTTAATCTCCCGGCTATAGGCATACTCTAGATTGTAAGCTCTTTCAAGCATCAACCAAATTTGCCTGTAACCTTTTGTAATTGTCTGACATTTAATTTCCCACTTTATAATATTGTAAAGCGCTGTGGAATATGTTGGCTATATACATTCCAATAATAATAAGCTATTTATAATTCATTGGTGAAAGATGCAGGACAAAAAGGTTAGCTGCCATCAAAGCTGTAAAAGGGAGTGGAATGTAGTGACTAAAGGCTATTAATGATGTCTATGTATTCAATATAATGCACTTAAACACTGCTTATGAAAACAGCCTGCAGCACGGTAGATTGCAGCTTTGTACAAGGCATTTTTCTTTAACAGATATTTGAATTGTTACAATGGAGGCATATATAAACAGAGAGGACAGAGATCAATATTTAAATGCAGCCTAGTTATGGTCATTTAGATATGAGTAAATAAATATATGGCAAGCAGAGCAATTCTGTTTAGAATGCCTGGTGTAAGCATAAATAATCCAGTGGGTTTTTTTTTCGTTTTTTTATGTCTGCTGACTTAATCCCAGTATCATTTTTAAAAAGTAATGTTTTAATCAAGTGTAGAATATTTTAAAGATTGGAGCCAATAAAGCAAGAGGCCTAAAGTTTGAGCTATGGACCTTTTTATATGTTAATCTTGCTTGCGGTAGGCAGTGGGCAATTTGTCGCAGACCGCTGTATTATTTTGTATATTCAGTATTGTATATTTTTAAGTAGATATGTTAATTTCCAGGGCTCTGCTTTTAAACCCACAGTTTACTAACAACAAAAATTAAAGATAATTACAGACTGAAGAAATCAAAGATCTCAGTGGAAAACGTACGGTACTTAGTGAGACTATAAACACTTTGATTAATATTTACATTTAAAAATCTGCTGTTCCAAACAGACTCAAATTATGTGCTTTGAAGTAGAAAAAAAAACGACACTTTTTTCCCCCCCAGGCATATTCACTTAAATCTGCTAAAATGTGATCCAAAATAGCAGCATGATTGATATAAATGAGTATGTATTGTTTGTACTGTAAGTCAATTCATAGGATAAATGCTATATTTTATAGCTTGAAAATACATAGATTGTATCTTTTCTTCAAACAAAGGGGGAACAAAAAAAGTAAACAAGAGGGGGGGAAAAGAGTTAGCCTAAGTGTGTAGAAGGAATGAGCAAGTACACTGGGTGGTTTTACAGACAGCTAAACAATGATGTAAAATACATTCTATAAAACAAAAGAACAATGCATTCCACCTTCTGTATTTCAGATGGTAACAATAGAGAATTTACCTTTTTTTTCTGTGAGCTTTGATCCTAATGTTAATCCCGAAGACACAGAAGCTTCTTCTGGGAGGAAAATGATATCAGATGGGGATAAGTTTGTTCAGTGCAGAGAGCAGCGTGTAAATGAACTACTGTAGCAATCTGATCTGTTACTCACAGAGGAAATGACTAAGACAGAGGACTTGCCCTAATTCCTAAGGTACGGCTATATTAGCATACAGAGGCCCCAGCCCACTGCACTGCAAGCTATGTGACATGGGCGGGCAGTGGGGAGTCACAGTGACCACACTGGTACCTGAAACACACAGCTCTGTAACAGTTTCACAGCCTTAGGGGCGTGGGGGAAGCTGCTTTGTAATTTGGGCTAGGTTATACGCACTGAAAAGGGAACCACTGATAATAAAGCAAGAAATATACCCCAGACCTTTCACTATGGCGAGAGTTTAGTCACTACTGTCAACATACAACGTGGTTTTAACAATTATAGTTTGATACATTTATTATCTGTAGAGCTCCTTTTTTTTTGCTGTATTATAGGAATGCACATGGCACAGTTTATACATAGTAGTTTTTACTGTGGTTTCAGATGATGGCAGATGGTCAAGTTTAAGCAAATCACTCAGGTTATTTACTAAGATGCGAATTGTGGAGAATTCGCAGTGTATTAAAGGACCACTCTAGGCACCCAGACCACTTCAGCTTAATGAAGTGGTCTGGGTGCCAGGTCCTTCTAGGGTTAACCCATTTTTTCATAAACATAGCCGTTTCAGAGAAACGGCTATGTTTATCAATGGCTTAAGCCTTCCCCTATTTCCTCTAGTGGCTGTCTCATTGACAGCCACTAGAGGCGCTTGCGTGCTTCTCACTGTGATTTTCACAGTGAGAGCACGCCAGCGTCCATAGGAAAGCATTGAGAATGCTTTCCTATGAGACCGGCTGAATGCTGCAGCTCAGCTGACGGGCGGATCGGAGGAGGAGAGCTCTCCGCCCAGCGCTGGAAAAAGGTAAGTTTTTACCCCTTTCCCCCTTCCAGAGCCGGGCGGGAGGGGGACCCTGAGGGTGGGGGCACCCTCACGGCACTATAGTGCCAGGAAAACGAGTATGTTTTCCTGGCACTATAGTGGTCCTTTAATACATTCTACTAGCCATTAGTTGGTGAATTCGCCCCGCGGAGTAGAAATTCACCTCTGGTGAGTGTATTATGGACTCTCCAGACTTGCAGTTGTCAGTAACCTTTAACCCCCTTATAATATTTGTAAAAAAAAAAAAAAAGTGCAAGCCCACTATATTCTGCGGTACAATGCAATTGAGGCAATACAGGCACACACATACTGGTACAAAAGCAGAAAAGTCGAACATTTAACGCAATTTTTTACAATGTACTTAGAAAAAGTTTACTATCTAAAGGTAATTTGAGATACTCTTTATTAGCAATGTTGTATTGCATATATAATTATAAAATATAACAATTTTCAATAAAAAATATTTGAAAAGAAAATGCATGTTGCCTAATTTTACTGTGTTTAGTATTTATTTTTTAGTATTTTTTTTTAAGAGTGAAAGGGGCATGCCAGTGACACTTTTACTAACACAGTGGTGACATGACTGACTAACCAATCAGGAACCTCCAAGCACCAAGGGATGTGGAAAATATTGCACCATTTTTAAACTGACTTACTTTGAGGATTCCCATGATTCTCAGGGAGACCAGTGTAGTAACCTGGTACCTTTACTATCATTACTAATTTTGAGTAAAGTGTTATATCCAACAAATAATATTGCAAAATAAAATGAAAAGCACCAACTGATAACTTCTAACTTATAACCAGGTTAATTTATACATTTATTTCTATTTCTTAATCTGCACTTTTTGCAAAATGAAAAAAAGATGACTAAAGTGCTTTAGGGGTCTGGAGTGTTCCTTTAAAGGTGCACAATAGCATTATGAATATAGACGTGTATTCCTAACGCAATAGTGTTTTGGTACCTATTTAGGTGTCCCCCACCATGTGAGGGCTTTAGTATAACTTACCTTTTTCGTCCATGCTGCGCTAGTCTCCTCACAACCACACTGCCTCTTTGGTTGAGATGTTAAGATCGCAGGCAATCTAATGCTTCCCCATAGTTAAGCATGGGAGGCTTGCGCAATTGTGTAGTAAAACGCTGCGCTGCTCCAATCAAATATTGCTCTATGACAGGGCTCGACAAATGCCAGGCGCCAGGTTGCCATGGCTACTAGGAATTTTGTCCTTGCACCTGGGATTTGCTGACCCATTTAGCCCCTGAGGTGGTCGGCTGCCTATGAGTGCAGGCGGCCGGCCGGGTCATAAAGAGCATGGGCTTATGTGTGGTCGGCCAGTCAGCTCAGGTAGAGCATGGGCATGCAGTCTGTCGACCTGCTGAGGGAGAGCATTGCCGTGCATGTGTAGCCGGTTGGCCAGTCAGCTGAGGGAGAGCATTGCCGTACGGGCGGTCGGCCGGCCTGCTGAGGGAGAGGGTGGGTGGGCAAGCGCATGGGTGGGAGGCTCCTGGAAGATTGAGCCAAATGGGCAGGCGCGCAAGGGAGCTGTAACCTCCCTGCTCTGACCCCTCGCGTGCCCTCTAGTAATGCCGGGAGCCGGAATATGACGTTATATGGAGCACTGAAGCCCCACTAGACCACAGGGAAAGCCGAACTACTCAAGCTCTCCCAAATGGTAGGGAGGCTGGGTGGTCACATTAATGTGTCTGTCAGTGTCTGTGTGTCTCTGTCTGTCAGTGAGTGTGTGTGTGTGTGTTTTGGTGACCGGTACCCCTCCAATCACAGAGGAAAGGGGTTTTTACTCACCTTTTTCCCCCACGCTGTGCTGGTCTCACAACAGCTGACCCTGCCTCCATGACTGTGATCATTAATCTTGATGGTCTCAGCCAATCCAATGCTTTCCAAAAATAAAGCATTGGGAGGCTATTGCAATCAGCATCTCCTTATAGAGATAAATTGAATCAATGCATTTCTATGGGGAACGTTCAGCACCTCCACGCAGAGCATGGAGACGCTAAATGTAGGTGCTGCGCACTGTACAGCACTGACCCTGGATGCACTCTAGAGGCCGTCTAAGTGACTGTCACTAGAAGTGTTACTAAGCAACAATGTAAATACTGCCTTTTTCTGAAAAGGCAGGGTTTACATGGAAAAGTGTGCAGGTACAGCTTATAGACACAAGAACAACTACATTAAGCTGTAGTGGTTCTGGTGACTATAACGTCCCTTTAAGAATGGCATATTTTACATTGAAAAGCCTGGCTCCTAACTTTATTTGCTGGCTCCTAGATTCCATGCAAATTTATCAAGCCATGCTCTATGAGATGCATTTGACCTATAACTAAGTTTAACTTGGTTATAGCAGAGGAAGTTCCTCTAGTGTCTATATATCATGAAGATAGCCACTAGATGCATGTTAAATCTGCAATTTAAACTTTGCCTTTGCAAAAGAATGGCCATGTTTTACATTGCAGACTTGAACAGACAGGGGCATTGCAACCACTTAATTGAAATAAGGAGGTCTAGGTGTCTTTAATGTCTCTGTAAAATGATCAGGTTGACAACAATCAGAAGAGAATTTGCTACACTTGTAATTGTAAAGCTGATTGTAGCCTATTATAAATAGCTGAGGAAATATGTACTTCAGTAGCAGAACCCAATACAAGGGCCAACCTGAAATGGACTAATAAATGTTATTAAAATGTCATACCATTCAAGAATTAGAATATGTCAAACAGAAACACTAATTCCTCAAACTACCGCCACTATATTCTTCAAATACATGTATTGTCCAGTCACGGCTGGATCCGCCCACGATCCACCCCCTTGGCTGAGATCATCAAACTTGAAGGCATTGAGAGGCTAACGCACATGCACAAAAAACACTACTCTGTGTCAATCAGCATCTCCTTATCAATCACTGGAGACGATGATCGTCAGTGCTTCATATTGTGCAGCACTGACCCAGGAAGCACCTCTAGTGGCCATTTCTGAACAGGCAGTGTTTATATTAAAATGCCTGCAGGAACAGACCATAGACACCAGAACAACTACATTAAGCTGTAGTTGTTCTAGTGACTTTAGTGTCCCTTTTAATTTCATAGATGATGTAGTGTCATGAAGCTGTCTGAGTAGTATACACAAGAATATCCCGCACTCTTGCATATAATCCAGGTGCTCCAGGCCCAGGGTTGGCAAATCCCAATTTAGCAGATATGAAGAAAGTCAGGTCCAGGCACTCAGGACTTCTCGAAATAAAAGAGCAACGTTTCGGCCTGCACAGACAAAGGTTTCTGTGCAAGCCGAAACGTTGCTCCATTGTTCCAGTAAATCTGCTTTTTGCAATATGCTGAGTGCCTGGACCTGACTTTCTTCACACGAAGCTGTCTGAGTGCTTCTTTAACATATTATTTAGTGTCCATAACCCCAACAAAACCTTCCTTGCATCTGCTTATCTAATGATCATGTTGTGGTGGGACATCAAAATTGTAATTGCTCTCTCTCTTCCCTACAGCGGTCCTTGTTTTTATTGCAGCAAACCAATTCATGAAATTCAACCAAACCTTTCTCAGTCAGTTTCTGAAAATTCTCAATTGTGCTACTTTGAAAGTTAACAGGACAAAATGTCGACTTACCCTAACATCAATTACATATATCATTCACAACCACTTTCATAATTTTGGTCAAAGAAGGGTTTTGCGAAGTTTTATATAATAAAAATAATGTTAAATGTTGGTGTTAAAATAAGACCACAAAGTAATCAAGATGACTCTGTGTAGCAGCAACCATTTTCAATCAATCTATATTTATAGATGCTTTCTTTAATACAATTTCCTCTTATTTTTTGGGGGGTCAGAAAGCATTGGGAAATGTTGCCATATCTCGGTAATCTTTCTACACGCCTTGTAATCTATCTCTTGATAGGGTGAAAAGAAACACAAAGGAGATATCTCTATCATCAGAGAATCTTGCTAACTTTACACCACAATGGACAGAACCAGAGGCTAATTTAACTTCTCCAGGGCCAATTAAATATAAGGACTGTCATTAAAATATGAGATATGTAGAGCCTCATGCTTTATTAATATTATTATTATTATTGGCATTTATATAGCGCCAACAGATTCCATAGCGCTTTAGACATTATCTATGTAAGGGAGATGTACCTGTGAATAAATATTTTTGAGCCCCTACAAAACCGCATGGGCTTTGATAATATTGTGCAGATCTGATCCCTTGTAAAATTCACAGCATGGTTAGAAAGCTGGAAAACATGTTTAACGACACTACCAGGATATTTTCAGCAATCCCTATCTGTCTGTCACTGAGGAAATCCCACTGTGAGGCCAGTAGTGATGTCACTCCCAGGGAATTCCCAAGGTTCTACATACAGGCATTACAATTGAACAGTGTAATTATTTTGGTCGATCAGCACAGAGCCACTAAATGTGTACTAACTGGACAACTGGTAGACTTAGCCAAGTCTGTCTCTTCCTAATACTGTGCAATGTTTATTTTTTATTATTTGAGGCATAAAATATCAGCACTGCATGACAGAAAACCATTTAATTTGGTGTGAAAGGGCCCAATCCCTATTTTCACTGCAGGAGCAAAAGCTAACATAATGCTTCTTGTTTGTTGTTTATATTGACCTCCATGTTTATACAACACTTGAAAGGACACTCCACTACCAAATCAAATAAATAACTCTGTTTTGTTGATATTCTCCCAATGAAAACATGCATGCATTTAATTACACAATTTGTTTTTATTAGGGGTATATCAAAAATAGCTCACAAAAGCTGCAGATCTCTTGTCTGAACCCTTTGCAAGCCCTACCCTTCTTTCCCAGCCCAGACCTTCTGTGGCTGTCCAAGCACAAACTTCCCAATGCAGCTTTGCAAGGCAGGTTCTATGGGCAATTGCCAGGCTCTTCAGTTTAGTTCAACTGAAATGGTTGGAACAGATTTCTGATTGACAGCCAGGGGGTGTAACAAGGTTAATTTTTAAAAGTGCCAATTTCTATTTAAATCTGCACTTTGTAAAATGTAGAAAAAGACATACTCTTTACAAATAAACTGCTTTAGAGTTTTGGAGTGTTTCTTTAACAAATTTTATCACAATATAATCATTTATTTTGTTTTTAGGTGTGTCAATAAAAAAACTAAACTATTTATATGATAAAATTGAATAAAGAAATTATTAAATAAAAAAAAACTAACCTGAACAACTTTAAATTATTCAGTAGCATTATACAATGTAAGCGCATTGATGAACACAAGATAAAAATTGTCAAATTAAAAAAAATATACTTGGGGGACGAAGCTAACTGGGGAACAGAGAGGACGAATTTCTCTGTGCTTCGTGCATACACCGATGAAAACGAGTATTAGCTGACTTACCCCTCTTCATTAGACGCCAATTCACAGCCCTACGGCCGCCTAAAAAGGCAAAATCTCTGATGCTGGACAGCATGTTCCGGGTCCCAAAGCCGACAAAGGCATCAGCTGACCTCATTATCCACTTCCAAGCACTCCAGGACAGGGCCCTGGTACTCTCAGCCCTTCGAGGAAAACCCCCTCAGAAGTTTGAGGTCTCCTCCCTGTCTGTGTTCCCAGATCTCACGAAGAGCACCCTCATATGGCGAAAGGCTCTACAACTGCAGCTCCTGTGCATGAGAGGGATTACATACAGATGGGGTACCCCACGAGCATTCGTTTTTGCACATGAAGAAACTGTGTATTGAGCACATAGCCTTCCAGAGCTGGAGTCGCGATTTTACGCCACGGGTATCCTGGTACCTCCGATGCTGACTAGAGTGGACCTGTCCCAATTTAACCCAGCTACCATACAGGAATTCACACCACGAGCACCACAACGAGCCCTGACGGCCAAGCCGCAGACCTGAGGGACTGAGTCCAGAAATACTGAGTTACTCAGCTATATGGAGGACTCCTCTTTTCACCATCACTACTCGTTCAACCTTCAAACCATAGGAAAAAGTTAATGTTATGCTATGTAATGTTTTATTTGTTATTATCTTATCTTTTGTTTAAAGACCACAACTTATGCCACTACTATCTAGGAGCTGACTATGGTTCATACTCCAGGAGCTAGTAAGCTACTCTTTATATCATATACACGCTCTACATACCTGCCACCAAGAGGCTGCATAGCAGTTTTCTTTAACTCCACCCCGCTTGCCAACATCCTAGTAGCCGCACATAGATCACTGTATAGTCCACTGGCGAGGGGGTGATCTCCTCTATGGGCTTAGCACAACTCGGTAGTCAAAATAGGCCTCTGATGCATAGTTGTGCCCACCAGAGGAAAACTAGTTGGTAAATGTGTCTAGATTACCTATGTACTCTTTTCTCTTTAAAAAAACAAAAACCTCATGCTGCCTGTTGTACACAGTTGTACACAGTTTGACACTATGCTGCCTGTTTTTTATTCTGTTACTGCATTCAGACAAAGAATTTTGTAATGTATTGTTTTAATCACAAGCAACATGACAAAAAAAAATTCAGTAGCAGCTCTACTGTCTGTATGTTATGTTACATTAATGTTTAAAAGTATTAGTAATAATTAAATTAAAATCTTGAATTTTCTCCAGGCAAAATCACCATCAAATGTGTAAACTAAAATATATACTTACCTGAAGTTTCTCTTTCTTCTTACCCAAAAATTGTAGTTGAAGCAAACATAGCCACTGTGCACAGGGACAAACTAGAAGCTATACAAATTTAAAGGAACACTATAGTCACCTAAATTACTTTCGCTAAATAAAGCGGGTTTAGTGTATAGATCATTCCCCTGCAATTTCACTGCTCAATTCACTGTCATTTAGGAGTTAAATCACTTTGTTTCTGTCTATGCAGCCCTAGCCACACCTCCCCTGGCTATGATTGACAGAGCCTGCATGAAAAAAAAAACTGGTTTCACTTTCAAACAGATGTAATTTACCTTAAATAATTGTATCTCAATCTCTAAATTGAACTTTAATCACATACAGGAGGCTCTTGCAGGGTCTAGCAAGCTATTAACATAGCAGGGAATAAGAAAATCTTAATTAAACAGAACTTGCAATAAAGAAAGCCTAAATAGGGCTCTCTTTACAGGAAGTGTTTATGGAAGGCTGTGCAAGTCACATGCAGGGAGGTGTGACTTGGGTTCATAAACAAAGGGATTTAACTCCCAAATGGCAGAGGATTGAGCAGTGAGGCTGCAGGGGCATGTTCTATACACCAAAACTGCTTCATTAAGCTAAAGTTGTTCAGGTGACTATAGTGTCCCTTTAAAGCACCTGCAAGTGTATTCAATGAAAAATCTACTTTACTGAAGACAGCTCCATTCATACTTCATCCACAGATAGCATGGCATCCTTGACTGGAAGTGACACAACAGGCATCCCACAGTTTCTATGCCGCTAAAGGCTCCTAGTGTGCAGGTGCTCATGCAGCCATTCACAGCACACTTAAATACAGCTTCTATTGCAACAGAGAGACTACAGCAGTAAAGCACAAGAAGTTAAAAAAAAAAACCTGACGGCGCTGATGTCGGCAGGAGGAGGAGAGGTCACCAGTTTGTTTTCCTGGCACTATAGTGCTCCTTTAACATCCTCTATAGCAACTATAGGTATGCCTGCAAACTCTGAATACACTTTGACTACTCTAATGATTATGCCTATTATTATATATTATTCATGAGATTATTTGTTCACTAGCACGATTTATATATTATTGATAAAATTTCTATACTTGCTTGAGCTGGCTTTGCCATTCCAGATATAGTTAGGTGTTTTAAACTTATTTTTGTGAGTAGTAGCCATTTAATGTTTTCTCAGCACGATTATTTTCAGAGTAGAAAATGATTTTCATATGCTGTTGTTCGTCTTCAGAGCATTAATTTAGGGATGAAGGGTCTCTCCTCTATTTGATGCTTATGTCCATTACATCTGGCTGCCATTTCAGGATTCCTGTTATTAGACCTCACGTGTTCTGCACCATTTAACAGAAAGGATCCATAACAAAGAGGGGACTTTGTAAGGATTAAGACAGAAGCCTAAGTTTTTATATACTATATGGTACCACTAAATGAGTCAGACTATTAGAATTTCCTTTCTGTTTTAAATCTTTTGCTATTCCAAATAGCAACCAAAGAGTTTTCTGCGTAGTATAGTGTGCAACCAAATGTTACGTATTGGCTGGGCTATAAAAATTAAGAACAAGAGGCTTAGTAGGAGTTGGTTGTAGAGATTTCTATATCTTGATCTGAATAATATTCACCATTAGCAGCTTTTATGAAATCTAACCTTTTGAACTTCCCTATGATCACGTCATCCAGTTTTCCAGCTTGCACAATAAAATATCTTTAGTCATAAACAATATGTCAGTAAAATTTAAACATCATTCGTATTTCTAATCAGGAGATTAGCTGGATTGTAATTATACAATAGTGGAAAACAAGATGAAAATTGAAAGAGAAAGAAAACAAAACTTTCCAACCGATTAACCTATAGATGGATGCGAAAAGTGATGGTAAGTTTAATCAGCCACCTCGCGAGCATATCAGATCCCCATAGGTAGATGAACTCCATTGATCAGTGATAGTTGGTACAGTTACTCTTTTAGATTTAAATATATTTATTGCCAATAACCAAATTAAAATGAGTACACATTTTAAAACGGTGGATGTAAATAGTTTTATTCAGGTCTCCGCTGTCATTTCCCTCCTTGGTTAAATGGAATCCCTAAATCCCAGTTTTTAAGGATAAGAAGGAACTGTACTGATTAAGACACTTTTAAGGAACAGGCTTCTAAATAAAAAAATAAAAAAATGATTTTATAGCCAAAGGCTGTGACATAATGGGTTTAGAAAGGAGCAGGCACTTAATAAAAATAAAAATAAACCTATCTGTCTGGAAAATAAAAAAACAAGTCCAAAATGTAGGGAATGAAATTCCCATGATCTGTAATTATAACCAAAATAGTCAGCAAATAAAACTGATTGTAAATAAATTGTGGCCAATTTTAAAACCAGATCCAGCACTTCATAAAATTTGTACCAGAGAGACCAAGATTAAAGGACCACTATAGGCACCCACTCCACTTCAGCTCAATGCCATCATTTTATTCTAACTGTATTTTGATATTACTGTATATATTTATATCAAAATACACCTAGAATGAAATTATATATATATATATATATATATATATCTATGTATATCCCCTTTACGCCCATGGACGTACTAGGTACGTCTGACAAAAACGGCCGTTCAGGACCGCAGGCTTACCTAGTACATCCGCGGCAAATAGGAGCCCTGGACTTACCTGGACCAGTGATTTGCGGCGAAGATGGTCGGGGGGGGGGAGGGAGGGACTGTCGTAGACCCCAGAAGCTCTGCAGCAGCTCTGGCCACCCCAGACCTCCAGGGCCCTGTGATCACCATGATCACATCACCACAATAGGACTCTAGGAGCTGCCAGCAGGGAGACTGTCTGAGCTGTCAGGCAGTCCCCCAGGCTGCTAAAAAGTAAACAAAAAAATAATAAAATAAATATATTATACATATACAGGTGGTCCTCATTTAATGACCTACCTGTTTTACGATGGCTTGCACTTACGACCAGGCATAGGTGCGAGCCGTCGTGGGGATTCCCTGCTCTGGTGCACATATCTATGTTCGGGGAAACTTCCCCAAACATAGATGAACACACCAGAGCATGGAATGCCTTAACTACTCACTTACCGACCGATTCGTTCTACGACCAGATTGTAGGAACGGAACCTGGTCGGTAAGCAGGGCCGGTGCAAATAATTTGGGTACATAGGTGAAGATGCATTTTTTCGCCCCCTTCACCCCCCCAAATTACATCTTCACCTGTGTGCCTCCTAACCTCCCTTTTGTGTTTCTTATCCCATCTTTTAAATATCTTACTCCCTTTAGTGTATTTTATCTCCTATTTTTCCCCTTGTGTGTCTCCTATCTCTCCTCTTCGTATGACTCTTACATTCTCCCACATTTTGTGTCTTGCTCCTCCCAGCCCCTTTGTGTGACTCCTTCTCTCCCAGCCCCTTTTTCTTTTAGTCTTCCCAGCTCCTTTGTGTGTGTCTCTTCCTGCCAGCCCCTCTGTGTGTCTTTCTTTTTATCCCTTCTCAAGCCCTGCTGTGTGTTTCTTTCACTTCCAGCCCCTCTCCCCTCCCTGTCCCTTAGTGGTCCCCTCCCTTCCCTTACCATTAGTGTTCCTCTTGCCTCCTCCCTTCATTTCCTGTCTCTTAGTGTATCTCTCCACTCCTCTCCCTGTCCCTTGGTGCACCACCCAACCCTATAGTGGTCCCCTCCCGTTCCTGGTGTGCCTCCTGTCTTTCTTGTAGTGTGGCTGAGCAGAGCGAATCCCAATACAGTGAGCTTTTCCTGTCAGTCTGGCCAGGTACAGGAAACAAAAGTTTCCGTTTAGCCACGCTACACTCAGCGGTGTATACACACTAACAGTCACACACACTCTAAGACAAACACACAGACATCTCTGACAGCCAGACTCACTGATCTGACACACTCATTAATTGACAGACACACACACGCACACTGACAGACACACAAGCATTGACAGACACACACTGATAGTCACACACACACTAAAAAATATCTCAAAATACACTTATAAGGAACTCATACATGCATTATATATGTAATAATATATCATGAAATACTTTAATTATAATATATTATACATATTTAGGAAATAAAAGTGTGTTTGTGTGTGTATATATATATATATATATATATATACATATATATATATATATATACACACACACAGTAAAAATGAAAATCCAGCAGACTCGCTTATCTACTAAACAGTCATTTTAATGCTGAACAATTTTCAGTTTTATTAAAAACACCTTATCTAGGCAAAAAAATATAATGGGGGTTTAGTTACAGTATATGATCATACATTGCATAAGCCTGCCACAACGCCAATGTACCCCATCTTTGGCAGGTCCTACTCTGTCTGCTAAATGAGCTTCTCACTTGGGGAAATCCTTCCATCTCGAGGTCTCTGCAGTACAATGCTTAAATAGGATCCTGAGATGAGGCACCTGTAACAGGGAGGGGTGCAAAACCCATGGAGCTGGCTAGACTCCTAAATATATACATTATGAGAAAATAAGGGTTTGGCTGCACTCACCTACACATGCTAAATTAGGGTGCTGCTGGGGGCCAATAAGTACAGTAAAAATGAAAATCCAGCGCGCTCGCTTATCTACTAAACAGTCATTTTAATGCTGAACAATTTTCAGTTTTATTAAAAACACCTAATCTAGGCAAAAAAATATAATGGGGGTTTAGTTACAGTATATGATCATACATTGCATAAGCCTGCCAC